GATCTTTTTTTCACTGATGATCTGATGACATGATGCAGTTCAGTCAGATTACGCAGCGAGTATAGATGACCCACGCTGAACTGTCCCACCAAATTCAATGACAGGGGGGCGCTACCATCGTTCAACTATATGGTTTCCAACATGGCAAAAATCTGAACCAGCGATCCGGTATTGACGGTGGCGCCCCACTGTCAATGTCATCGACAGGACAGTCCAGTATTTTGGAACTATAATTTAATTTTAGCTATTCAATCAAATACTCACGATGGCAACCGAAATCACCCGAATTGATTCTACGACATTCTATTCGAACGGATTCGATTTTCGAACTTGTCTTGTCCAGTCTAATAGACGCACTGATCGCGTTCGAAGCACCTGTGCGGCGCTAAACTCGTCACGACATGCAACAAGACAATGGGCCAACTGTCCGGCCGCCGGATATCCGGCTATCCGGCCTAGCAGCTCGCCTGATATCCGGTATCCGGTATCCGGCCAAACAACTATCCGTTTCATCTCTAATAATAATATACGCTTCGGCTGATTATACGGAAGATCAAGGAGTATAATCAGCCACTTTGCGTTTGTGAACTATGAGAAAGCCTTCGATTCGATTGAGACATGGACAGTGCTTCAGTCTCTTCAACTGTGCCAAATTGACTATTGATACATTAAAGTGTTGAAAGGCTTATACAAACACGCCACAGTAACAGTCCGTTTTAAGATCAGGACCCGAAACCTATCCAGTTGCAGCGAGGGGTGAGACAGGGAGACGTCATCACCACCGCCCTGGAAGATGTTTTCAAGCTTCTGGGCTGGAGCGGATTCAGCATAAATATCAACGGCGAGTACATCACCCAGACAGCAGACGATATCGTAGTCATGGCTGAGATCATGGAAGATCTAGATACAATGCTCGATGGCCTCAATAGAGTCTCTCAACAAGTGGGTCTCAAAATGAACATGGACAAGATTTAAAAATCATGTCTAAAGACCGTGTTGCACCCACTCCTCTAAAAGTTGGAGACTCTACACTCGAAGTTGTTGACAATAATGTATACCTGGGACAAACAGTCCAGTTAGGTAGGTCCATCTTCGAAGAAAGGTCAATCATCGAATCCAGCTCGGCTGGGCAGCCTTCGGGAAGCTTCACGATATTTTCACGCGGCTTCTCCGTCGCATCGCCGCTCCGCTTTAAATCCACTTTGAATCCGCTTGCAATCCTCCAGGGTGGCAAGGGCCTTAAAACTCAGCGGCACACTGATGTTCAAATACCGTAGCCGAGTCCTAAAGCCGCGGCACGCGTTCGCCACGAAAAGAGTGAGCAAGACAGCAATATCTCACTCACACGTTTCATGCCTTGTTTATAACGACCAGTCTTAACGCTCAGTTAATAAATCATCGAAACATTACAAATAATATCACATATAAACAACAAAATTAAAATTAAAACTAAATGTATTCTGTCGAGAACACTGAGAATATTCCCGGGAGCGTTCTCGGTTCTCGAGAATATTCTCAGTGGGAATATTGCCNACAGTCCGTTTTAAGATCAGGACCCGAAACCTATCCAGTTGCAGCGAGGGGTGAGACAGGGAGACGTCATCACCACCGCCCTGGAAGATGTTTTCAAGCTTCTGGGCTGGAGCGGATTCAGCATAAATATCAACGGCGAGTACATCACCCAGACAGCAGACGATATCGTAGTCATGGCTGAGATCATGGAAGATCTAGATACAATGCTCGATGGCCTCAATAGAGTCTCTCAACAAGTGGGTCTCAAAATGAACATGGACAAGATTTAAAAATCATGTCTAAAGACCGTGTTGCACCCACTCCTCTAAAAGTTGGAGACTCTACACTCGAAGTTGTTGACAATAATGTATACCTGGGACGAACAGTCCAGTTAGGTAGGTCCATCTTCGAAGAAAGGTCAATCATCGAATCCAGCTCGGCTGGGCAGCCTTCGGGAAGCTTCACGATATTTTCACGCGGCTTCTCCGTCGCATCGCCGCTCCGCTTTAAATCCACTTTGAATCCGCTTGCAATCCTCCAGGGTGGCAAGGGCCTTAAAACTCAGCGGCACACTGATGTTCAAATACCGTAGCCGAGTCCTAAAGCCGCGGCACGCGTTCGCCACGAAAAGAGTGAGCAAGACAGCAATATCTCACTCACACGTTTCATGCCTTGTTTATAACGACCAGTCTTAACGCTCAGTTAATAAATCATCGAAACATTACAAACAATATCACATATAAACAACAAAATTAAAATTAAAACTAAATGTATTCTGTCGAGAACACTGAGAATATTCCCGGGAGCGTTCTCGGTTCTCGAGAATATTCTCAGTGGGAATATTGCCGGGAACGAGAACTTTCTCAGCGGCACATCTCTAGTCGTGCTACTTGAAATCAACGCGATAAAATGTCTGCTCCAGGCAGCGGATAATGATTAGGTCCGTTCCTGTTTCGGATATCTCCATGCAGATTGACGTTGATTGGTCCGTGGTGGTGGATTTTTGCACGTGCATGCACAGTTACATAAGTCGGTCGATATCTGGTAGCTACAGGCTGCACAGTAGTCATACTGTGGTAGTCACGACAGCCGACACGCTCCGCCGCCGCTCGTTAGTTCCGTGCCATCGACAGGACGAGTGAATCAGCACTACCTCGCCACTCCCCTACACCTAGCGTCTGCTGTTTATGATTTGCGTCATCCATCCAATACATAAGTAATAATGTTTGCGAACTAGTTACCTAATTAGAGATAAATGTGTTACTAGAACTTCGTAATGATTTTAATGCTATCATTACATGACGATCAACACTTACGACATTAATTTGATAGAATATAATAAATAAAGAAGTCTGATTTCTTATTATTTGCATTTCGGATCACTTGCCTGTGTAGGGTAGGTAGGGTAACCCCTTGCAATTTAAATATGACGAAAATAATGCCCGCCATTCGTAGTTACATTACACTGGTCAACAAAAAAAATAAAATTGTGTGTTTCCTGTGATTTTTTTTCTGTTTCTATCTCAAATTGACGCATATTTTTTAAATATGGCAATAGTTTTCCTCTAACAGCTTTTGTTTTTAAGTTATAGCTATCTACCCTCATTTAATATTTTTACTTAGATTTTTGATTTAATTGGCCAAAAAAATATATTTTGTTAGTGTTTTCGATATTGTTTCGTTATGAAGATGTTGTGTGCTTAATCCAGATGGCTTCTGCTATGTTTGTGGTAAATATAATATTTGAAAAACATCGAAAACCTCTATCGGACTTGATGAAAACTGCGTAACATCGACACTTTAATATAAATATTTGAAATTAAGTAATCAAGACCACAAATGGGTCATTTGTGTTCTGAGAATGGGTAACATATTTTAGGCCAACAAGGGGGCTACACAAAATTCCCGTTCCATGAGTCTCTGGAATAGTCGTAACAAACAATAGCATTGGTTACAAAAAATTTGACCAGTGCGGCTTCCCGCACACACAACTTTTAGCTCTTCAGCTAAAGATGGTACAAACAATTTTATAAACGTGCCTTTAGTTAGCCAAGACCGTATCACCGTACTTCCACCACTTTATATTGAGCTCGGCATCTTTAAACAGTTTGTGAAGGCGCTTGACAAAAGTGACGAATGTTTTAATTTACTTTCACGCAATTTTTCAGGATTAAGCACAGAAAACTTAAAAGCTGGTAATTTTTGATGGGACTCACATTAGGCAACTGGTGAATGATCTTAATTTTAAGAAATCAATGAATGAAGTCCATTCCTAAGCTTAAAATGATTTTTTTTCGTTATAAGTAATTTCCTAAGCAAAAAGAGATTGTTGAGAGCATGCTATCCAACTTGCAAGAGCTAGGCTGCAACATGGGCATAAAAATACACTTCATGTACTCGCATCAACATCGATTTCCACAAAATGTGGGTGATTTTAGTGAGGAGCAGGATAAAAGTATTCATTGGAATTTTCTGACAATGGAAGAAGGTTATCAGGGGCGTGGTGCTCATATATGAATGGCAGACCATTGCTGGAGTTTGCAACAAGATCTACTCAAATTTGCCTATTCAAGGAAATCATAAAAAAGATCATTTGCTAGTGTACAATAGAAATTTTATTAACACAATGTATAATTTTTCGTATTTTTTTGTCAAAATAATAACACTCTATATTTTAAAAAGTAAAGCTGTTGGCGATCTCCCAGTATTTTTTTCATAATCAGGGCCATAGAGATACCCAATAACAGAAAAGAAATTAAAGGAAACAAAATATGTGTTGACCAGTGTTATTGGTGCATGGTTTCAACTGAACTGCCACTACAGTCACCCACCATAGGACATCTGCTAGTCGAATCATAATTTATTTTTGTGAACATAAAAAGTTGTTTCTTTTACATACTACTACAGTAGAGGCAACATGAACATCGTTTTGATTGGCTTTATGGACCAAATACATTGTGGCATATTAAAATTTCGATTACTTATCAATTAATTGATAATACTTTATTGTAGAGCTTCCAGCCTTCGACAGTTCTTTCTTTTTTGCGCTAATGAGAAATGTTGAAAATTGTAATTTCATAAATACTTATGTGCTTTGTAAGTAAATAATGAATAACTTATTCTAACGCAGGCGATGCTCAGCTAGATTAGATTAAACGAAATGCCAAGACTGGCATTTGACCTACTTTAATTAATAGTTGTGATAAGAAATTGCACTTCATAACTCCATTAAGAAAGGAGGTAGTTAATTCAGTGAATAATATCTTTATTGAGGGGCTGATTTCTCAATCGTGAAATATTTATCTGTTCTCCGGACAAAACTAAAAAGTAATTGGCGATTAATAATTATAGGTAGAAAATTTCTAAATTCGTGAAAATAGTTTCATCGGTTTTATCTAAACGAAACTTTCATCGGCATTTTGTGTTACTTTATTTATGTAGGTTTCTTTTTTGTGCTTAATTTAAGTTGTCGTTTGTTTTGTTAACAGATGATGAGGTGCAAGCAGAGGTGGTAGAGTCGCACGAGATGAACTCTGACGTGCACCGTCACCAAGCGCACCCGCCGCTTGCTCAGGTAAAAATAACAACTAGTATCGGCCTCTGGCTCTGTGATCTAGTGGTAAGACCACCTGCTTCAGATGCAGAGGTCCCGGGTTCAATTCCCAGTGGGGGCAGATTTTTCTGTTCGTTTGGTGGTAGGGCTTGTACTAAGTCCGCCTGGCTAGCTACCACCATCGTACCTAAGTCTGTCGCCATAGCAACAATGTTAACAGCATTGTTGTGTTTCGGCAGTAGAGGTAAGATAGCCAGTTCCTCTGTGGTTGAGGATTCCGGGTGAAGCTCGCTTCCACCTTTGGCCTGATCGTCACTTATCATCAGGCGAGATACAGGCCAAGAGCGTCCTCGTTGTGGATAAAAAATCTAGTCTAAATGATAATAAATAATTAAAGTACTGACGTGTAAATCACGATCGGTAATCAACAGTCAGTAAAAGTAGGAAATATTAACTAATTGCTAACATTTATCAGTAATAAATTGACTGGAATTGTAGACCGGCCTGACCGGCAAAGTTCTACTCTTCTTCTCATGGTTAGATCATCGAAACTTTATTTAATTCCTGTATTTACCAATTCACGCTAAAAATAAGTATGCTTACGTGCAGAATGTTCCCATTTCACTTGTTAGTCGCCGGTTACATTTGGATCACGTTTGCAATTAAGGCAACTAACAACACGTTAAAAGTTATACTTAGATTAAATCTTTATACCACATTGTAACTTTGTACGTACATCTACGCGCGCTCTACATTCTTTCTTTCATCCAATAGTAATTTATTGTATTCGTGTTATTCAATCAAACGTCTGTAGCTGTACTACAAATTAATGTTTGTTGTAAAATTTCTCGATGTCTCAATAATATTGACGCTGATAATAAATTGATTACTTAATCGAAATATTAACTAAAATCATAAAGCAATTTGTTGCTGTTTATTTGACGTAAATTAATTGATTTTCGTGAAAAAAGGTGTTGAACTGTTGACTGTGCCGATAATGAGCTTATTAGAATCGTTTTAATATTCCAGTTTCTTAGTAGCAGTTAATTGAGCTATTTGATGTTAAAATTGTTGATGTTTTCAGATTCCTCTTTTGTCTTATTGTCTTTTGTGGGTATTCTTGCTGTAATCCGCGCATTTGTATTAAGAGCACTACAATGAATGGCGATTTTGATCATTCAGACTACAAAGACAATACCGTGAAGTAAATCCAAAATATTCGCAGAGCGCAAAATTTGTATAAATAAACCTTCACACAGTACCTGCAATCCTGCATCTCGCCTGTTTGGCGCCTGGCCAAGGTTGTGCGTTTCAGTGTAGTGGATCGTTAACTGTTTTATATGAGAACATTATCTTTTGTTCAAGAGCAATCAATCCCCGTTATGTTGTCGGATTATTGAGATTATGAGAACGATCAATTTGTAGAAAAAGCTCATCATTCAAACGTATCCACTTGAGTCTTGGATGTAGAAAGTATATCTAAGCAGGATGTGTATTTGAAAGTTGATGCAAAGTTGCGAAATAAATAATTCGAGGCACTTGACTGCGTCTCTTGATGGTTTTGGTGCAGGCTTAAGAACATCTCGCCTAGATGAAGCAATATTTCTGACAAATTAAATTTCTTTGTTTTACGTATCAAAAAAAAAGAAAGCGGCTAAAGTATCTTTTATGAATTTTACTTTGCCAAAAAGGGCAGGTTCTTCTAGCTACACATCGAAAATAGTCGCTTCTTAGTGTCTTGATAATTTTATTTTATTTATTTATTTAAACTTTAGCACACAAAGAAACAATGCACTGTGGCGGACTTAATGCCGGATGGCATTTTGGTGCAGGCTTGAGAACATCTCCCCTAGATGAAGAAATATTTCTGTCAAATTCAATTTTGTCATTGCTTTACGAGTAGAGTAGCCAAAAAAAAAAAGCGACTACGTAAAACAATCTCACTAATTTTATTTTGTTGTCTACACGTCGGAAAATATTCTTCCCCTCAGTGAACGTAGCATATAACTTGGTGCGTGTTTTCCAGCACGGTGTCCACACGGGTGCGCAGGGCGTGGGCCCTTGCGGCTGGTACTCCGCGTCGGCCGCGCCCGCGCCCACTGCGCCCGCGCGTCTCAAGCGCGCCCCGCCGCAGCAGCTGCCGGTTAGTCCCTCGTAGGCATGGAAATGATTGCTATTTTTCGTTCATTTTCATTTCATGAAATGATGATTTTTATTCATGTGATTTCACATGTGAAATTTCACAGGCAATGATTTTTATTCGCAGTGTTAAAATGTAGCTCTATCATTTAATGTGCTACTTTTAATGAAGTATGAATTATGATGGATGAACGATTGCTAATTAGCTACCTATATTAAATGTGACTTAATATCTGTTTGATTTTATGTCGCACAACAAAAAAAACAAACAGTTCCACAGCACAGTATGTATGCAACATATTATATAACCGAGCGACTAGTGAAAAATAATTCATTTCATTGTAAACAAACAACGAGCACGTTCCGACCTGCTATCTAATGAAATCATAATGAAATCACAGTGAATCATGACAAGGAAATCTAAACCTAACATCTTTGAGTTTAAAGTTCATATTTAAAATGCCCAGTTTCGTCCGTCATCACATCTCTCGTCCTTTTCTAACACGCACATGATCAAATCATTCCTACTTACTCGCTCGATCACTTCGTAAAGCTGCGCTCACGGACTTCGCTCGAATGAATGAATGAAATTCACGTGATTCGTGATTTCGTTGACTGTGAAATTATAGCAGTCTATGTGAAATAAAATAGCAGGTGTGATTAATGAAATTCATTTCATATGATTTTTCACCTGCTATTCATGAAATGTTCCATGCCTAGTCCCTCGACACCCTAATGACATGACACCAAACACTTAGGGCTATATTTCACCGAGACACCATGGCGGCGCAACCAGTCGCCGCTACCAATAAAATGTATGCAGCTTTGCGCAACCAAACGGACACCAGTGAGTAACTCTCTATAGAGCTGTATACATTTTGTTGGTAGCCGGCGACTGGTTGCGCCGCCATGGTGTCCCGGTGAAATATAGCCCTTAAAGTTACAAGTAGTCTACTAGACAAGCTGTTTAGGATAACAGTTGTGACTCATTATCTTTGCGATTGCTATCACACCTCATTGAGGCATTTGATCGACCGCTGACTATGAACGAAAAGCGAGAAGAGCTACATACTAGACCCAATATACTGAACTGTCTTATCCGTTACATTGACAGCGGGGCGCCACTGTCAATACAGAATCGCTAGTTCCGATTTTTGTCATGTTGGAAACTAAGTTGAACGATAGTGGCGTCCCCTTTCAATGAGTTTGGTGGGACAGTTCAGTTTCGGTCATCTATACAGTGTGCCGAGTGCTGTTCGCTAAGCGAACGTTAGTCAGCGAATGTAATCTTTGATAGTTCTTTGTAGCTGCGACTACTAAAGCTCCGTCCGGGCCTTTTCAAGGCGAAAGTGAATAGGCACTTACAGGGCAGATATTATGTACCATCCTAGACTGCATTCCCACTTAACACCAGGTGCGACTGTGGTCAAATACCTGCCTTGTTATGCATAAAAAAATATCTAGTAAAGCAACAACAACTCCTTGTTCGCACTAGTCGACCTAATCTACACTAATATTATAAAGAGGAAAACTTTGTTTGTTTGTTTGTTTGTTTGTTTAGTTGTAATGGATAGTTTAGTCTATAAACTAACACCCGTATGCGCATTTTATTTACGCGATTCAAAATTGTTTTAACTAACCAGCGCACGCCCACGGCCCGACACAAATTTTATTCTGAACAGCTTGTCTAGTTACTTATAAGTCTTTGCTAATGGCTACAACACTACCAACTAAGCTATTAATCAAAGCCATGACACAGGAAAATGCATTTGTTTCCCCAAAGGCTAAGCCAACCATAGCTGGGGTGTTTATAAGCGTTGCGCGTTGTCGTGTATAAGTTATTTGACAGAAATTAATTATTTTATGACGCGAATGTAAACTTTGTAACGGTGTAAAATACATAGTGATCACTTTATTGAGAATGCATGAAATAACAAAATTGACCCAAAATAGTTTGTTGACTAAGAAATTATTGTTTAGTTGTGTTCTGTATTTTAAAGTATGTAGTTGAGTTATGTAACATCATAATCATTAAGTAGGTACTTTTAGATATTGTAAATCCAATTAGAAAAAAACAATTAACGTGAAATTTGAATTCATGTTTTTGAAGGCCAGATAATAATTAAGACATACTAAAACTAATCGGTATAGTGGCCTACATTCTGAAAGCATAAAATTGAATGATATACAGCCTTGGCCAAAAGTATTGAGCACCCATGTTATTTATTAATTTTGAAGGAATTATACATGTGTCTGAATCAAAACAGTTTTTAACAGTTTTATATTGTTTATTTACAACAAAAAAATAATACTTTGTTGGACCACCCTTCGCCTTAATTACTGCAGAAATTCTTTTTGGTAAAGATTGTACTAATTTATTACAATCGTCACATGTTAAAGCGTTCCACTCTTCTCGCAAGCGATGTTTTAGGTCTTCTTTTGTTATTATTGAATGGCGCCGGACCTTGCGCTTCAATAGACCACACAAATGCTCGATGAGGTTCAGGTCTGGTGACTGGGCAGGCCATTCAAGCAGCTCGATGTTATTGTCACTAAACCAAGCCATCTTTCGGTCAGCTTTGTGACAAGGTGCGTTATCCTGCTGGAATTTGACGCTCTTCATGTTGATGTCACCAAAAAGTGTTGTAAACGAGGGCAGAAGTGCGGATTCAAGAGCGTTTATGTACTTTGTAGAGTCCATGCGTCCTTCACACACAAACATTTCCCCAACTCCTGCGGCGCTCATGCACCCCCAGACCATCACACTGCCGCCGCCGCGTTTGACGGTAGGTACCACACACTCCGGGGTAAATTCTTCGTCTACTCGACGACGGACAAATGTCACACCAGGTGTGCCAACAATCTGTAAAGTAACGAAATTTTGTTAAGTGTTTTTCGGTCCAATATTTATTTTTACAAATATAGTTTTATAATATTATTGTCGCGTATTGTTATTACATGATATTGGCTAACTTACCTCAAAGTTTGATTCATCTGACCACACAATGTTTTTCAAATCTTCCTCAGTGAAAGTTTGGTATTTTAAAGCCTACTCGTAACGAGCTGTTTTGGTCTTTTCTGAGAGCCATGGCTTCTTTCTGGCTGTATAGCCCTTAAGCCCAGCTTCTTGGAGTCTTCTGCGAGTTGTTCTTGCAGAAATTGGCGTATTAATTTCAGCTGATAACTCAGCAGCGAGGTCGGAAGAAGTTTTTTTATGATTTTTCAAAGACTAACAATACTACAGTATCATAGCTAAACATCTCGAAACGTGTTTTATTGCACGTTGTGCCGTGAGTTTATGTTTCAAAACCTGTCAAGGAAAGGTTTTTATCAAATATCTTTGAGTATCTTTTATAGTTATCATGTATAAGCAGTATTTAGGGGGTGCTCAATACTTTTGGCCAAGGCTGTATGTGAAAATTTAGAGTTTACGTTGCATGCAATACCGATCTAAATGAATGTTAGCGTGACACCGTCAGTTATTATATCCAATGGCCCCATTCACACAGCTAATCGACACGCTAGAGTTTTAAGTGAGATTTACGAAAACCTTAAAACGGCAAAATACAATATTTTGAACGACTTTAGAATTGCTTCGTGGTTAGCCGCTCATCTTTGAAGCAATGTTTACCGTTAACGATGGTGGCTTGAATTAAGCAGCTGTAAAACGTGCTTTCCCTGTTTTTATTGCGTCGTTTTTCTTTTTCACTGTCCGTTTTTCACTTCAAAATGCTATTTTGCTTTGTTTGCCTAGTTTTGCGTCACTAATTAATGGGTAATCAGTTAGATTGTTGAAGGGTTTTAATTGATTAATGATGTAATCTTATCAATAGGCATATTGTATTTTTCTATTTTTCATTATTCTATTATTCAAGTAAACTGTTAATATTGATTTACAACTTGGAAATATGCGTCACAAAACATAGTTATGATGGTTAACATTTACAATGATTTAGCAGAAAAACGATGTTGTTAGTCGTTCACTATTGAAACAATAGTCTGTAATAAAATGAAGATCTTATTGTAACACATGTATCCTTGTAATATTTTATATCATTTATTGTCCTTTGTTGGATGCTAATTTTATGTTCTCGCTAGAAAACGGAGTATGATCTTGTGTGCTCTTATCCCCATTGACTATTGTTTGCCGATGAAAAATTTCACACGGCTAGAAAGTCCCACAACGCAGTAAAACTGCATGAGCATATTTTCACTAACAGCCACCTCGTATACCCGCAATGCTGACTCGCATCTCGATTGTATATTTGCACCGAAATGGGTGAAGTTATTTTTAGTGTAATTCATACATTGTGTTCTAGTCGGGAGGTGGAGTGAGCGGTAGTAATGGGCCACACGCGCCTCTCTCGCCCACCGCATTGCAGAACTCAGTACAACATAATGTAAGTGCGAAACATGCATAAGAACATTTATTGATTGCATCCGCTGAGGCGGTTTGAATTTTCTTTTAGAAAAGTTTCCAGACGGTTATTTTAGTCTTTTCACTAATAAAAGTTACACGCGTTTAACACTATAAAACAGTGATGTTTTGTATGAAAATGTGTGTTAAAGGTTGTAAGTTTTATTATTAAGAGGATAAAACATTACATTATGTACCGGAGACATTATTATGATTGTTTACTAGTAATAGTTGTTGTTTTTCCGCAGAACATAATGTCTTCGTCAGTCCGGGCGCCCGCGCCGTCGGGACAGGCACCTTCCGCGATGCACACTTCCCAGACCTCGCCCGGTTCGTTATTTATGTTGCTATGTCCTTGTTTAACTAGCGATTAATAAATACTAATAATTAGTCAGTATTATCCTTATATTGCGCCTAGCAAGTAGCGTTGGAATTATCACTTTAGTTTCGTTGTTTTCTTCTAGTGGTGATGAGCAAAGGCGCTAGCGACGTGCTCTTGAACTCTACGACGACCCAGAATCCGCCGCCAGCGGGCAGCAGGCTTGTCAATATGACACAGTGGCCGTGAGTAAAATATCTCATTTTAATTAAATTACTACTACGTTTTACTCATAATACTGTACATTGTGCTCTATTATAAAGTTAGATGCTACTTTATGTCGTTCGGGTGGGGTTTTTACTCCATGAAAAACAACTATTCAGTCATAATATATCGCTATTAAAATTTTAATGCATAAGTTATTTGTCACACATTCGTATTTTACAAACGAATTGATATTCTATTAATTTTAATCTCTATTAAATGTAATATTAATATACTATCATGTTGAATGTTGTTTGTTATTCATGATATATAAATAAGTAACTGATGCCATTAATTAATTTTTACATTTATTTATATGATTAAAATCGAGCAATTTGCTTTTTGCTTTCCTTTCTTCAGAAATGTCATAAAGTTATTAGCTTTCGACTTTCGCATGGAATAAAAACAATTCCAAGTGCGGTATTTTTATCGGTTAGGTAATATTGATACATTATAATAAAGCATTTAGCGAATACAAACAAATATACTCGTCACTCAAACGCGTTTTGCTACTTCCACTCATAGACACCCTCGATTTGATCAATAAATCTTATCTCGCCGGTTATCTGACTGATAGCAAAGGTAATGTTTTAGGCGAGCGTTTAGTATTTGGAAGAATGGAGAGTGATATCACAGAGTGTTATTACAAGCCACATAAAATTAAATTGTTCATACCGCCAATTTTGGCGTATGATGATTTTGAGTAAATATCACTTTACGTTTTAGTGCTTACTATTAGTGAACGCTAACACCATTAGCAAATATCTGCTAAATTCAAGATTGTTAAATCTATGTGTTTGTATTGTACATCGTGATTTACCTTGGTGATCGTTATGAATTGTCCGATCGGTTTTCAGATGACGATTTCAGCTTTAGCTAACGTCAATTTTGGTTCGGAGTAATTTTTAAGGTGTTTTTTATTGGAAATATACTTCCAACGTGAGCTCTGTAAATACACTACATTAATACTTAAGTTTTTAATCAGATAGTAATTTAAATAAGTAAAGTATACACTATACACATAAGGTAGTAGATATCTTCAAAAAATCATACACATTTTTTTCACAAGATTTTACGTTTTAATTTGTTCATTTAAAAGGTAGGGCAGATGATTCCACAAAAAGCAAAAGGTAGACAATTTCTAAGCGAGAACTTGGCCTGCACTTATACGCGTGCCTCCCAGTATGATTGAATATATTGAATCCCTTAGTCGCTTCTTACGATATTCTTTTGGATCTCTATTCTTTATAGGGAAGTAGGTGGTTCAATTCTACCCTGCTGGAACCAGATGGTTATGTTCTTAATATGTTGAACGCCACGTGACTCACTGGTGAACCTCGAACAATAAAATTTATATTGGGTCTAGCTTCTCGGCAGTAGAGATGTCAATTGACTGAAGCTGACCGGTCATGATGGGTCAAATACCATAAATGACCGGTCAAAACGGTCAAATTCAGTCAATTTGACTCAATATTATTGTACTACCACCGAATAATTTATTTATTTAGGTACCCAATTTATATGCAATTTTAAATGAAGGAACGTTAATTTATATTATGCATGTGAGCGGGGTGCGGGGCAATTACGTAGGGAAAGAAAGAGAGCTCAATAAATCATTACTAAACACTTATTGTTTCAATTTAGAAGTTGTAGACTCATTGTTAAATGTTTAACTATAATAAATCATTATAAACCACTTTTTTATTTCAATTAAAGACGTTGTAGACTTTTATCAATCACAAAATCTAAGAAAAAACAAAAAAAAAAGATTCTAAACTATTACTGAAATCAAATTGACCGTAATTGACAGTTTATGACTTGTTTTTGACCGTTTTTGACCAATTTGACCGTAAATGACGGTCAGACAAATTCAGCTGCTTTAGTCATTTTCAACACTACTCGGCAGTCAATGACTTATTTATTATTATTGTAATCTTATTTAATTCGGATTTTGTTGCAGCTGGCACCACGGCGCGATATCCCGCGAGCGCGCGGAGGCGCTTCTCTCGGGCTCTCCAGACGGCGTGTTCCTGGTGCGAGAAAGCACCAACTTCCCTGGTGACCACACGCTCTGCGTGCGGTTCCGAGGACGCGTCGAACACTACCGGTGAGATGCCCTAGTAACTATAAGGATCCAGCTATAGTTATACCATAAAAGCGGGCATGTTTGTCAACTTTCGAGTGTCCAAGGTGCAATGTCTTGCGAGAGAACTAACTTCCCTGGTGACCATACACTCAGCGTGAAGTTCCGTGGCCGCGTCGAACACTAAAGATTCCCCTGAACAACTAAAGATCCCAGTTATAGTGAGACCACAAAAGCGAGTTTGTTCGTTTACTAGTGAGTGTCTACGGCGCGGCTACTATCGGGCTCTTGACGGCTTGTTTCTAGTGCGAGAAAGCACCAACTTCCCCGGCGACCATACGCTCTGTGTGCGGTTCCGTGGACGCGTCGAACACTACCGGTGAGATGCCCTAGTAACTATAAGGATCCAGCTATAGTTATACCATAAAAGCGGGCATGTTCGTCTACTCGCAAATGATACTACGGTACGGCGCGATATCCCGCGAGCGATTGATGCTGAATTAAATAGACAGTGCGGCGTAGAAGGGGTATACCATGCGCCACGAGTGCAACGGCACACTAATGTCGCTTTCTTCATATTTAGGTGACTGCAGATCTGTATCCATAAGACTTAAGACTTTTTCTTATGTCATGTAATTTGATGAGTTTTTGTTACTTATTTTTCAGAGTAAAATGGGCCACTGCACCTGATACACAAAACCAACGTCTGACGATCGATGACGAGGAATTCTTCGACACTATGACCGATTTAATACACGTAAGCATTATTCTTACAATGTTTGCGATAATAGCAATACTAATATATGAACACATGTAAAATTATTAGGATTATTTTCGTAATGTATATTTTTTCACTTACAGCATTATTTACAAGATGCAGATGGACTATGCACAAAGTTGGTGCGGTGTTTACCCAAAGCGACTCCGAATGGTGCCAATAACAATGGATCTATGCAACCCCCATACCCACCTCATCCGCAGGTAAGATATAAACATCTATTAAATCGTTGTAGTGTATAATATGGCTTATTTTCATTATGCATATGATTCCCTAAATAAAACTAGGCTATATTTCAAGTTATAATATTAAATTAAATATGCACTTAGATTCACATAATATCTATTACGCTGTTTTACTTCATATTATTTTTAGCGTAGGTATCTGTGTTTAGTTATGAAAATGAAACATGCAACTGTAAGGCCATCCCCTTGCAATATTACAAGGAAAATATCCAACAAATAAATGTCACGAGGTAAAAAGTGTTGCTCTGATTGTCTTTGCCTGCATTTTTACGTAATGAGGAAATAACTAGACTGTTTCCTAACGTGTAATGAGTTGAGTCAATGTTACGGCATCGTGACGCCCCTGTGTCACCCACGGTTGCTTGGCGCAGTTAAACTACTAACAGTTTATGGTCTTCCGTAAATATGCATCTAGGCTAGCTATTTTGTGATGATGATATTACATAATTATAATATTTTAGCTATCTGCATACCGATATTATTCTTGAATTATGCTCGTGAACACGTGTTTTGCTTTTTAAATTTGGTTAGGACGGCCGAATTAGTCAAATTTATTGAACTTGCTCTGCGTGCTTCAGATCTAAATATTTAAACTTCGCTTACGTCCACAATTTAAAATTCAATACGTCTGGCCTCCCGCCGACTGGAATTCAAGGTTCCTAAATCTTAAATACGGGAGTGTACTGCTTGTATGAGCTAGTCTATATGAGACTTACTCTCCCGTAAGGAATTTATTTGTTTAATTATTCGCTTGTCATATTATTATGTTTTATTATACAGGTTTTAAAAATAAATAAACATGACTTAAAGTGTTAGACACTTTAATGTAAATTAATTAATGTTGGAAAGCGACTGCTTTTCTTTTGTTGTTTTCTCTGTCTGTCTTGTCCACGAAAAAAGGTTGAGCACCATTTGACAGGCGCTCCGCAGCGCAGCAAAAAGCGTTAAAATGTTCCTATACATTAATGCTTCAACCACACCAACGCGTGCAGATCGCCATCGCCGGCGCGATCATAGGGAAATGACAGGTCGCGTGAACTGTCATGGGTCGCGGGACCTGTCATATTGGCCTTTGATCGTGCCGGTGTTGGTGTGATTGAAGTTTTATTATACATTTTTATGGTATGTGTCGCATTACCATCGTTTAACCCTATACGTGGCTCTGTCACATTGTATATTGCCTGCCACCATAATTTGACCCTTATTCTCTCACTATAAGCACAGAATAATAATAAGTACTACGTACAGAAGTTTTACTTCGCGAAGGTATTTAAAAAATGTATGCTCAATGTCATTAAAAATATGGTGTAATTTAGCCTGTCTCAAGAGTCAAGCACCATTTTGTTGACAAACGTCAGTGATCGGCACTGCGCCGAAGCTATAGGGCTGACTTCGGTAAAATGATGTGACGTGAGGTGCAACTGCGGAAAATGGCGGAGGAAATACATGATTTAGCATGAATTATCATGAATAATATTAACTACTTATTTACCTCTCAGTGTCTTGAGGCAACTTAAAAAAGTACATTCTGTGTTTTTATTATTATTTAGGCAGTTAAATACTGCACAGTATTTAGTACACAATTTTCTTTATTTTCTTCCATCATACACAAGAATACGCGTGCGTGAGTCAATGTTCGCTCGTATGTGAGGCCTTGTCGAATAGTATCCTGTAGGTGGGCATCGTGCGTGTTTTGTTTTCGATGTAAACTCGCGGAGATGAACAGGCCTGCTATAAGGTCAAAAGCCAATAAAAACTTGTTTGCCCGCAGCAGCCGCCGCCGTACCCGCCCACGCCGAGCGTGTCGAGCGCGCTGAGCTCGGGCCACTTCCAACACACGTACTCCACGCAGGCGCCCGCGCCCGACCAGACCGACGGCGCTCTGCAGCCGCAGAAGTTTGTGGATGCGCGTGAGTGTACCCCTTTATTTCTTGCTGACTGACGTGAAAGCAGCAGTGGGAGACGGCTTATGTGACTGCACCAGACAGTCTGCCAATAGAGAGAGATGGAGGGAGACCGTGCGGAGAGTTGTATCCGCCTCTACAACCGATGTGAACAACGCCTCAACGTGACCACGACCGCTCTGCCAAGAGCGTAACGAATAAGAAGAGATGACTCTTTTATAATGCGAACAGCTAGGGCTTGGAATTCGCTGCCTGCTGCTGTCTTTCCCGAACACTTTAATCCGGGCCTTTTCAAGGCGAGAGTGAATAGGCACATACAAGGCAGATATGTACCATCCTAGACTGCATCTCACTTAACACCATGCATAATTATGTGTTTGCATATGTGTATGTCAAGAGGATGCATCAAATGAGGACTATTATCGCTTTTAGACTTAACACTTGGCACCACTGACAAGTAATAGTACCTTATTCTACGGTCTTAATCCTGGTGAGTGCAAATGCGATAGTGATTCAGCGCTCACCAGTTTGCGCCACTGTCTTAGCTACTAGTGAGGGCAAATACTATAGCCCCTATTGCATAGGGGTAGGGGCTGGCTAGTGGGTTATGTGGGGCTCTCCCTGCCAAAAGAAAGAGGCATATTCCCAATAAAATCCTGACGACGCCCTCAGAATCCATGTGAGTTGGGAACACGGGATAGCCCCATCGGCAGTAGCCTCTAGCTAGAATTCCTCCGTCTTCGTTTTGCTTGCTTTGAAAAAGCAAGCGCCAACCATGTTTAACCGGATCCTCAGTTCTTTAGTGAGCACTCAACCTCTTTATGCTGACCCAATGAACCGTTTATCAACGCAAAGTAATTATTTTTATTCTAGGCTGGCGGATAGATGAACGCGATCTCGAGATACGAGAAAACATCGGCAAAGGTGAATTCGGAGATGTCATGCTGGGCATACTAAACGGCACGCAGAAAGTCGCCGTCAAAATATTGAAGGACCGCGAGGCTGCGAGTAAATTCCGTGCTGAAGCGAGCGTTATGGCGTAAGTAATTGAGTATAATTTAGATTACATTTTACCGATACCTTTTGTAATTTTGCCCAATAGTTGTTGAATGTAGTGACCGGCAGTTTTAGGGAATAAGAAACTAGGTTTTGTAAGTTTCTTGAGTGGGAGAATAGTTCATAGTTAGAAGAATTTGTTCTACCCTCACCATCCTGGCCAGATACCTGGATGTTAGCATATCCCTCCCTAGTTGCCTCTAACATCTGCGGGCAGAGTTATAGGGCCAGAACCACGCAGCTAAATTAAATTGTAAACTGATTAGTGTTGTCAAATACCCTATGGCCGCGTGTACACGCTAAGAAACGTCGCCGGGCCTACGCAAGAATTCGTGTCGTTTCTACACACATAGTGGTGCTACAGCTTTGGTGCCATAGTAACAAATGCTAAGGCTGACGTATTCTGTCAGAATACAGCACTTTTTTTTATTGGCCGACACTTTTGATTTTGAACAAAAAATGTATGAATAGTCGATGACTTTTAGATCTCAAATACTCGACGCACAGTGGAGCTACGGCTTTGGTGCCATAGTAACAAATGCTAAGGCAGACGTATTCTGTCAGAATACAGCACTTTTTTTTGTTGGCCGGCACTTTTGATTTTGGACCAAAAATATATGAAACGTGGATGATGTCCTTTTCGTAGCTGAAATTTCTTAGCGTGTACAAGAAGCCTATTTCTGTTGCCAGGTCGTTGATGTCAATAACCTATTTCTATCGACCCCCAGATCCCTAAAGCACGAGAACCTGGTGCGTCTACTTGGGCTGGTGTTCAGCGCGAGCGGCAGCACGTGCATCGTGACCGAGCACTGCGCGCAGGGCTCGCTGCTCGACTATCTGCGCTCGCGCGGCCGACACTACGTCACGCAGCTCAACCAGATCAACTTCGCCTAGTAAGTGTGGAGTGTTACCAGAGTAAATACAAATGAGTGACCTACTCATTTGAATCTTCATAGAAACGGCCAGGCGCGGTTTGCCAATACGTATGCGGCGCGCACGCACACACTGACAAAATTCGGGGCACCTCACCGCTAATCCACGTAAAATTTTGTCAGTGTGTGCGTGGGCGCCGCATACGTATTGGCGCGCTCACATACAAACCGCGCTCGGTGCGTTTCTATGAAGATGACCTACTCATTTGTATTACGTTTATTTGTATTTCTGTTACGTCACGCAGCTCAACCAGATCAACTTCGCTTAGTGAGTGCTACGGATAATTCAACATTTCAGTTGTTCATTACGTCACGTAGCTCGACCAAATCAACTTCGCTTAGTGAGTGCTACGGATAATTCAACATTTCAGTTGTTCATTTCGTCACGTAGCTCGACCAAATCAACTTCGCTTAGTGAGTGCTACGGATAATTCAACATTTCAGTTGTTCATTACGTCACGTAGCTCGACCAGATCAACTTCGCCTAGTGAGTGTGGAGTGTTAGCGGAGTAAATACAAATGAGTAGGTCATCTTCATAGAAACGGCCGAGCGCGGTTTGTATGTGAGCGCGCCAATACGTATGCGGCGCGCACGCACACATTGACAAAATTTAACGTGGATTAGCGGTGAGGTGCCCCGAATTTTGTCAGTGTGTGCGTGCGCGCCGCATACGTATTGGCAAACCGCGCCTGGCCGTTTCTACTTTACTCTGGTGTTACGGATAATTCGACATTTCAGTTGTTCACTACGTCACGCAGCTCAACCAGATCAACTTCTCCTAGTGAGTGCTTCCAGGTTCTCTGAATACTTCGCGGTTCAGTTGTCCATTTCTACTATTTAATAGAATAAACATTAAACTCTAGTCTTGGAAGGAGTCGTCTTGAGGCTGGATGCCACCGTCAAACCGTCCTGACCCTGCGACAGAGCGTTGCGCAATGCTTGCGCCTGTGTTTGACATGAAACCATCCACATTATACCAATACTATTTGGCGCTATAGTGCGACGCTAAAGCTCTAGCGTGCGCTAGATTCACGTTCTGTTTGGCGAAGCCTATAAAAGCGCAAATCAAATAAACTATGCTGTCCGCTAACTTTCTAGACTATCTTCTCTGATGTGTTAGAGAAGCAACACATTAATATTGTCTCGTGTCAGATTTTCAAGCGGCTTAATCTCACTTCTTGTAATGTCCGTTAAGGAGTTTCATTTATGTAAAATCTGCCATTTTTATTAATTTAAAATATCAATTCGCAGTGACGCATGCTGCGGGATGGAGTACCTAGAGCGGCAGCGTGTAGTCCACCGAGACTTGGCGGCGCGGAACGTGCTAATCTCGCAAGAGGGAACCGCTAAGGTGGCGGACTTTGGATTAGCGCGGCCTGACGCCGGCCAGGACGACCCGGCCGACGCGCAGCGGCTGCAAGCCAAGCTGCCCATCAAGTGGACCGCGCCCGAAGCGCTCAAGTACAACGTGAGTATGGTTGCTAAGCGACGTAACAGGCAGTAGTATCTACGAGTGCCAGCGTGTAGTCCATCGAGACTTGGCCACACGCAACGTGCTAATCTCGCAAGAGGGGACCGCTAAAGTGGCGGACTTTGGGCTAGCGCGGCCCGACGCCGGCCAGGACGACCCGGCCGACGCGCAGCGGCTGCAAGCCAAGCTGCCCATCAAGTGGACCGCGCCCGAAGCGCTCAAGTACAACGTGAGTACGGTTGCTAAGCGACGGCGTGACAGAGTAGTTATTGTCTAGAGTGGCAGTGTAGAGAAATGGCGGTACGCAACGTGCTAATCTCGTAAGAAGGGACCGCCAAGTGGAGAGCGCGCGAAGGGCTCAAGTACAACGTGAGTATGGTTGCTAAGCGACGTAACAGTCAGTAGTTAGTATCTAGAGCGGCAGCGTGTAGTCCACCGAGACTTGGCGGCGCGGAACGTGCTAATCTCGCAAGAGGGAACCGCTAAGGTGGCGGACTTTGGGTAAGCGCGGCCCGACGCCGGCCAGGACGACCCGGCCGACGCGCAGCGGCTGCAAGCCAAGCTGCCCATCAAGTGGACTGCGCCCGAAGCGCTCAAGTACAACGTGAGTACGGTTGCTAAGCGACGGCGTGACAGAGTAGTTATTGCCTAGAGTGGCAGTGTAGAGAAATGGCGGTGCGCAACGTGTTAATCTCGCAAGAAGGGACCGCACCCGAAGTGCTCAAGTACAACGTGAGTATGGTTGCTAAGCGACGTAACAGGCAGTAGTATCTAGAGTGGCAGCGTGTAGTCCACTGAGACTTGGCGGCGCGCAACGTGTTAATCTCACAAGAGGGGACCGCCAAGCTGTAATCATCCACCTTTTTCAACCATTGCGTTCTGCTTCAGATAAATGCTTCCTAAATAATTATTTTAATCAAAACTTTTGTCTTTTGCAGAAATTTTCAAACAAGTCTGACATGTGGAGCTTCGGTATACTTCTATGGGAAATATACTCCTTCGGTAGAGTGCCATATCCAAGAATCGTAAGTACTTTTATTTATTTAGTGTCTTAATACCTTGATACTATACTATTATGGCGATCTTTTTGTGTATTCAGAATAAAAATTTCATTATTTTTTATTTGGCATGTGGTGACAGGGATCATAATGATAATGTATGATATCCGGGAATATTTTCGAAACTGTTGAATTTCACGAGTGTTGAACTTTCCGTTTGACATTGATTAGCCTGTGGCCTAATTCACGTATTTTGACAGTCAAGATCTCGCTGACGTTCAAAAGTCGTCCCATTGAAAAACAGTTCTAAATCCGTATTCACAAGGTTCATTTCGATAGAACGATCACTTGATAGGATCGCAACTCAGCGATTTGTTGTCATTGTTTGTTACGCCCATTGAAAAACATTTCTAAATCCGTATTCATAAGGTTCATTTCGATAGAACGATTACTCGATAGGATCGCGCATTCAGTGATTTGTTGTCGTCGAAGTTTTGTTACGTGAAAGCCGTGTTTTCACTAGGACACTGCGAGCGTCGACATGCGCGATCTTCGTGTCCCTCGACAGTCGTCCGACAGCCTTTGAGTAGTGAGGACGCGTGTCGCTTTGTGTCGCTCCTCGGGCGACATACTGTTCACTACTGGCTAGTGAACAAGTCATATGTCGAGGGACAAAGTCGCAGAGACAAACTACGCGAATGTTGGACGACTTATCTCCGCGGCAGTGGCGGCGTAGCATGGGTTGGCACCCGGGGTGATCACCCCCCCCCCCCATAAGTCCTAAGGCACCCCCTGGAACTCCCCAGGATTTTGACCGATTCGAAGATTGATAGACAATCGCCCCCCGTATCATGACATAGACCGCAGACTGCCATGCAGATGCACCAGTGAGTACTAATCTGCGCGACTGTTGTCACCCCCTGATGCTTGGCACCCAGGGCGAACCGCCCCCTTACGCCGCTAGTGTCTCCGCGACATGTCCTCTAGTGAAAACGTGGCTCTAGGCTGCTGATCGTGAGTTATGTGAGCCATATGTTTACGTATACAGCCGCTGGCAGAGGTGGTGCGTCACGTGGAGCGCGGGTACCGCATGGAGGCGCCGGAGGGCTGCCCGGGCGGCCCGTACGAGGTGATGCGAGCGGCGTGGCACGCCGACCCCGCCCAGCGGCCCACCTTCGCCGCCACGCGCCTGCGCCTCGCCGCCATCCGCACCGCCGCCCACCAGCACCAGCCGCACCAACCGCCGCCGCACCCGGTGAGTAAACAATAGTATATTTTTTCGACAGCAAAACCATTTAGGCGGGTTTTAGAATCGCGCTGACAGATCAATATGACCCACGCTGAACCGTCCCACCCGTGGCACGCCGACCCCGCCCAGCGGCCTACCTTCGCCGCCACGCGCCTGCGCCTCGCCGCCATCCGCACCGCCGCGCACCAGCCGCACCAACCGCCGCACCCGGTGAGTAAACAGTAGTATATTTTTTCGACAGCAAAACCATTTAGGCGGGTTTTAGAATCGCGCTGATCGTCGGCGCTGACAGATCAATATGACCCACGCTGAACTGTCCCACCCGTGGCACGCCGACCCCGCCCAGCGGCCCGCCTTCGCCGCCACGCGCCTGCGCCTCGCCGCCATCCGCACGGCCGCGCACCAGCACCAGCCGCACCAGCCGCCGCCGCACCCGGTGAGTTTACTTGCACTCAGCGAGTTTACATCGAAAACAAAACACGCACGATGGCCCACCTACAGGATACCATTCGACAAGGCCTCACATACGAGCGAACATTGACTCACGCACGCGTATTCTTGTGTATGATGGAAGAAAATGGTGTACTAAATACTGTGTACCTGCGCCGCCTCGTTTGTATTTTGGCAGTTGCCCATTTATTGTCCCGAAGCAGTGGTAGGGTTAATATTGGGACGTGTAAAAGTGCTTTTTAAAAGCCTATTTGCAAAAATAAATGAATTTTATTAATTTATGCAGTGCGGCGCGGTTGGAGCGCGGGCCCGCGTTCAAATTTGGTGTGACATACTTCAAAGAGTTTCTTGTATTACAACTTGCGCGGGCCCGCATTCAAACTGCACTGCTACTGCCCTGCGTTTGGTCTGCCCAAAGCTTTCAAGGATCAGCCAAACCAACGCGATCATACGCGATCAGCCGGCGTGCAGCGATGGCGACCAGACATAAATGCATTTATCGCCATCGCTGCACGCCAGCTGATCGCGTGTGATCGCGTTGGTTTGGCCGAACCTTTAGGCGGGTTTTAGAATCGCGCTGACCGCTCGCTGATCGTCGGCGCTGACAGATCCATATGTATTTAATTGAAGGGAACGTTCCTGAGTGATGCTGATCGCTCGGCGCCGACGCTTCATACATTTCGGCTGTCAGCGCTGACGATCAGCGTTGGCAAGATAATCAATTGACATTTGACATACTTTTTATGACCTGTCTTAACGTGTCATATAGATTGTACTGCCAATTGCCATCAGTATATCCGTCCATGGTAAAATATTAAAATGGCCTGTTTATTTTACTATGGTAAAATATTTCAGGCTTAACGTTAGTATTTACTCTTCTGAGATTCAATGACCTTGTCGAGATTTTATCGTTATCGTTGTATTCATTTTGTTACAGTGAACATCGGTCGGGAATGAAATGGATGGACTAAATAAACCGTGAATTAAAAACAAATTAGTTATGTGCTGTGAAGGTTGCGAGTTCTATTTCCTTACTTGTCATACAACTAATGTAAGTACTAAATTATTTTAATAATATGTTTAAAGACACTTCCGATAAGGCGAAATTCTAATGTAGTTTAGTTGGGTAGTTCGTACAATTGGTGTGCCGTAGAAGAAGGAGACGTGCAATGTTCGATGTTATTCTATTGCACGCTAGTACAGAGCTTTTAGCGATAAGTCTTTTTAACATTGTTCCTCATTAGTAACTATCCAAATATTTATTTAGGCGATGAGAGTTATTATACCAGTGATCAAACATCACCAATGAAGATTTAGTAAATTAAATATTTTTATAAACCTGCAGTAATTAATGAAAATAATATTTTCTTGGTAAGAACCACGATACCTAGTGTCTATATGATAAGATTTCGGAGTCTGTTTCGCTAAAAGCTCTGTATGATTTGGCCTAAAATTTATCGAATTTTCCTTACACATTCTCGTAAAGATTCCACCCAATGTGGCCAATAGCCGTATGTCGGTACTCTAGTACTGTCTAGTCAAATATACTTTTTATTATAACATAATTGTTATTTTCATATTAATTAAAAACGTAAGGTGACTGATAAATATAAAGGGTCAAAAGGTTCAACTATGCACTAATAATAGACGTATTGTATTACTACACAGTTAGTGCTAGAAATGGTCATATAATATTAGCACAATGATGCAGATACTATAAACAACTTCTAGCAGCTATTTATGACGGTAAAGTGAGCACAAACCCGAAACAGATTGTACGGAGTTGTAAATAAATTGATGCATTTGCCTTGTGTGGCAAATTATTGTTGCATGTTAGATACATGTCTTTAATCCTAGTTGCATGTGATTCATGTACAACTCCGTATGCGATTCACCTATAGCTATATCAAATAAATTCAATTAGGCCCACCTTTGCCCAAAAACTACAATCGGAACGTTATAAATTAAAAAGTGATCATCCAACCCACCATGGTTGTGTGGCTGCAGCTGATTCTGAGCGAGTCAATCATTCCTCATAACATTAGCATCAAAGTCTGATATAGTTTAAAATCTTCAATGCATTTTTAGCTAATCTGCATTAGAGTAAAAATGAGAAATATACATTTTGTGCTCCAGTTTATATGCGACTAGCCATAAATGAAAGAAAAAGTTGCAAATATGCCAACTTTCAGGTTGTGTGCTATTATAAATTTAGAAAGTAGCTAAATGCCAGTTACTTTTGGAATATTCTAAAATATAAATTAGGTAATGGAGTTAATTTATGGATGTTTTAAAATAATGAATGTGTATCATCATGACAAATTATAACCACTTTTTTGCTGCCACAAAATAGACTTTTTTGTTCTTTGTTTTACCCTGTCTTTTTGCATTTTACAAACATTTTAAACTTTACTTGCATTTTTTAAATCAATTCACAAGTATCCCTCAGTAGCCCAATGTAAAACGTGATTCTGTTTTGTGGCAGCAGGTGAAGTGCGTATGAGCTAATTGAATCTCACTGAAGTGTGAAATTTACTATTCCAGATAGAATTTTTACCCTTAACTCTTGCAGTATTGTTTAAATTTGTGAAATTTAGGGAATTTTCTGTTAATTTGAGAACTTTACTGTAAGATTAAGTGTTTTAATGTTGTCTTATGATGCTTAAAAGCTTAAAGTAGTATAATTAAATTTTAAAGATTGTCTAATATATATTTTTAAGGATTTATTTATGTGTACATATGACTTTTAAACTATAAAAAGTCCATTTATGATCTAAAATGATATAGCATATGAGACAACATTGCGCATTTTTTACATTTATTTTTTTAAAGATGATTCAAAGACTATATTATGGAGGATATGTCCGGTCATATTATTATGTATTCTTATGCAATACTAGTTTTAAGTGTTAAATTGTTTTTACGAATTATTTATGACCCACGTGAAAATTTGTAACGAATGGGTTCTAACTGAGTTTTAAGTCATTTCTTTTCTGCCAAAGCATATTTCAAAAGTAAAATGACGCGATTGTTTTAATGTCTTGGTCTTCCTATCTTATTTACTGTGTGATTTGCTAACTTTTGAAGATGAAGTATGGTTGTACAACGGAGTTCTAGTCTGAAAAATGATATATTCACTAAACTCCTTTAATATATTTCTTCATTACAATGATTGCAGGCATATTGTTATATTTTGAACTCCTATCGGAAATCTCAGCTACTTAAAATGAAAAGTTTGTTTTGTTTAATTCTGTATTATATTTCTCGTATGTACTTCATTGTAAATACATGTATGTTAAGTCATAAAAATGTACGATAACAAAATATAAATCCCAAAAACAGTCTGTGTTTGTTATTATTTCTACGCGTCTCGGGTGTCCGTGTCGGTCGAGCAGCAGCAAGTTGCGGAACTGCACGTGGTTTCATAAACTCCGATTATTTTTTCTGATGATTTCGATTGCATTGCGTCTTCTTTTGGTGAACTTTTTATTTTAGGGAACCAAAGTTCAGTTTTGACGTGACTTCTGTTAGCGATACTACTTCCGCCGCGTACCGAAGTGGCTGTGGTGCACGAGCGGCAAGTCTGCGTATTACGCTCGCTCTCGGCGGCGCAGCTGGCCTGATCAGCATAAGTTGTTATAGACTTGTCCGTGGTACTCTGCTCTTTACATTCACACACCACTTTGCTCTTCTTAGATTTTAGTCTCTTTTTACTCTTTCTTATTTTTAAACGCGTCTTGGAACCATGTTGCTTTTCCGTAACGCAGCTTCTGCTTCGTCGAGGTTTCCCAACTTTGTCGCAGTGACATTCCACGTTTTCGGTTCCTGACCAACTTTCGTCATCACTGATCGAGCAAATGCAAGGCTTTGCGCAGCTGACTTCTTGATTGCAGAAGGTAGTTGCTTTCATAGGTATATCCACCTGGACCGACGCGCATCCTTTGAGTTGAGTCGCAGGAAACCAATCACATTGACGTAGACAAGGGAAAAAATAATGTAGATCAGTTGTCGAAGTCCAACAGTCGTTATGAAACTAGAAATTTAAATCGTAATATTCGATTCTGTATGCAGGAATGAAAAAAGAACATAAGCTAGTACACATGCGGGTTCTTATGTACCTTCAATTGGAATCCAGGAGGAGGTATGTTCATATTCCAGTCGGAGTTGTAACACGGTCTTGGAAACCTACCGGAATATATTTGTTGGCATTGTTGATTGAACATAGAAGACGGTATTCTGAAATACATTATAATAAGGACATTATATTAGTTGATAACATAGTTTATAAATACTTGAAAACATTAGTACCAACTACTTACGGATTAGAGATGCTTCTAACGTAATATGCTCCGGTACCATTATTGAAACATGGGTGGTAATTCGAATGAGGGTGACATGCTGGAGGGAACCGTTTGTTTATAGACATGAAGTATAATTGGATACTCCCATCAGGAAATACTACCGATACCACTTCGCCTTCTCCGATTATTTCTGGGTAGACTGAGTATTGCGGTAATGCTGTAATTTTTTATAAAAGCAAAATAACATGCGCATAAGCGATCTCTAACATAGTCTTATGTAATAAGGCATGTTTATACTAACGTTGGTTGCAACAATGATACTGTCCAAGGCCTGGAAAAACAGCACCGCACAATGGCGGGTTGCACTGCATAGTTGAAGAATGATATCCTTTGACTGTGTTTCTGCTATTTCCTCACATATTATTACTGTTTTGTTGTGCTGATTATCATTTTAGGAGGGGATTAGTACTGAAAGTCACCCATTTTTTTCGAAAAATCTGGATTTGTGTCGTGAAGAGATCTGTCAAAAGAGGATTGAGATTTGTCTCCTTGACAGAAAATTGTGTTTGTACGTTGTACCTATTTACATGGCATTTCAGTTCAGAAATAAAATAATTGACTTTACCATGGAGTATACAAGTAAAAAATTTTGTTGTTCTCAGTCCCATTTCTTTCCAAAGTTACTTATCAAGCCAGAGTAGTAAGTTTATTATTTCGTGCACTTTAGAGTAGCAGGCAGAACAGGATCAATGAATCAAATAATATTCTTGAATTTGAATAAAAATATCTTTACTTTCTTCATCATAAAAATATTACATGCAACTTAATTCAGAATTCCATTCAACATTGTAATCTTAGAATAGGATTAGCACTTACTTATATACAGTTCATTATTCTTACTATTGTATCTACACATATTTAAAGCATTTACGAAAATTATATACAGTAGAATCCCGATTATCCGGATAAATTAAAACGGGGTGTTCCGGATAATCGAAAATGCGGATAATCAATTTCAAGCAATAATTAACTTTTTACAATAGAAAGGGTTTTCAATAAATCATTTAGTTAGACCATTGGATAAATCCATTTCTTTTAACAATTAACCAAGACGACGTCCGTACCGTGTCACGGTGGCGGCGCCCTGCCGTTTTGATGGGTCCACCAGACCCTAAATCGGTAATCAGAACCGTTAAGAATGAGTCAGGATGATCGGATATCCGTATCGAGATTATCAACGAGAAACAGACGTTAGAGCCATCAGCTGAAGACGGCATTCCTGATGTGAAAGTTGACTATGTATTCAGAGTTGGTCCTCTGGACGCTGATGGCGAAGGGGTCGGTGGGATGGAAGGTGAAAGCCACCAGGCGCCGCGCGCTGGCCGGCACCGACTGGCCCAGCACTCCCGCGTAGATCTTGAACTTCAGCAAGCCTGAGTCACGAGCGTAAAACCTGGAACGATAACACTGTATCAGTTTAATTGCTGTGGGTTCCCCCAATGCGGGTTTTAGAATCGCGCTGACCGCTCGCTGATCGTCGGCGCTGACAGATCAATATGTATGTAATTGAAGGGAACGTTCCTGAGTGACGATTGGTATAGCTAATTCGTACTAACTAACATCTTTCATCTTCGAATCGGTAACCCAAAAATCCTGGACCAGACCATTCTGGGGTGCCATAGTTCCGACAAGTAACGCAAACAGACTCGCCCCACTGCAGGGTTGTTCGAAAGATGCCTAAGAACTTAGATTATTGGGATATATTCGCAATGCCACATGGGTGAATGTGAGTTTGAAGTTAGATATAACAATATGGGTCTGGCCATAGAAATGTAAAAATATGTTAGTACTTCAATAAAACATACCTTATGGGATACTCCCCATAGGCTTTAGGCCTCTCCATAACAGACACCCATTTATCATCATAACTAAATAGGCCCAAATCTAAATAAGGTGATCCACTGTATGACTGAGCACTTATTGGCAATTGTGCCAAAATTCTTTTGGTTGCCTCTGTACGACCACCGTAAATAGCTCTCACAATGGTTTGCTTAAATCTTTGCTGAGTCAGTCTTGCATATAAATTATTTGAAGGAGAACATGTGAACTGTGAGTCTGCTCGTAATCTTGCATTTCTAAAACAGTCGCAATAATTCTCAAATAACTGTAAAAGTCCTTCTGAGGTGTTCTCATACACTTCTAATATCTTGCTTTCACTAATGTTGTAGATTACAAAAAATGATGATTGACTGTTGGGCTCTGGTACTCTCAATGTCACAACTTCTTCACTTGCATATTTGATGAATAGATGATCTTCATCCAGGAGCTGCATTTTCCACATTCTTAAGCTTTTAAACATATCAAAGTATTTGTAGAATTTCCTTAGCTCAAGTGGATCTTTTGATTCATCACTTATTGTCTTGGCTCTCTTGAAAAGGAATACAAGTAACCTATGTTTTAAGCTATTTATTGTCTCCTCGTGAAATGGTCTTTCATTAATCTGTGGAGCAAATACTGAACTCACAATTAGTGGGTCATCATCATAACAAAATCTGCCAATTTTTCTTATCTCTATCAACAGCCCTTCTACAATTTGAAACAAATGTATAGTTTGATGTTGTACAGAGAGCACTGCTAGGACTTCTTTGTACAAATATATGCCTTGATTGTGGGAAAGGTAGATTTTGTCAATCCTGAAGTGTTTTGTATCACATAGCTTGCCATGGTGCAGATCCACCAAATGTAGGGAGTAATCTTCTAAAGCAGATCTAAAAAAATACAAGAAAAAAATAAAGTACACAGTTGAAAACACAAATAAGTATTAAAGTAGATACAGATAGTACGAGGGCGGCACTGAAAATTTCGGGAATCAAGGAAGTGAAACAACATTACTATTTAAAAATGTATTTATTGCTTTTTAAAGTATTCTCCGCGAACTTTGACACATTTTTCCATACACGAAACCAATCATTGAAGCAACCATTGCATTCGGAAGTTTGGGTCTCCAAAATGGCCGTTTTGTAGGCTTCCACAGCTTCTTCAGGTGATGAAAATCTCTGACCACGCAATTTATTCTTAATTTTAGGGAAAGTATAGAAATCATTAGGGCTTAGGTCGGGGCTGTACGGCGGATGGACTAATAATCCTATGTTTTCTTGCTCTAAAAACTCTTTTGTTCAGTGCGCGGTGTGAGAACTCGCATTGTCGTGATGGAGGATGATGCGGCGGTTGCAGTTCTCTTTACGGAGTTCAGAAACGACCTGTGGCAAACAAATGCTAGCATACTAATCTGCATTAACCGTTCTTTGTCCCCCAAGAGGAATAGTCGCAACATGGCCGGTTTTGGAGACAAACGTGGCCACCATTTTTTTTGCAACACTCCGTGAACGAACAATTTTTGTTGGCTTTAATTCATTTTCGAACACCCAAACTCGTGACTGGTTTTTTGTTTCGGGTTCGTACGCGTATATCCATGATTCGTCACCTGATACGATGTTGTATACAGCATTTGAGGATCCTGCATGTAATCTCCCGAGAGTTCTGACGCACCAAGTAACGCGAGCCGCTTTTTGCTCTTCACAGAGCGAATGCGGTATCCATCGGGAAAACAACTTTTTTACACCTAATTGTTCATGCAAGATTATTTGTATTTGACTCATGCCAATGTCTAAAGTTGCCTGAATTTCGCGGTATATCACATGTCGATCTTCTTCAATCAGCTTACGCACAGCATCAACGTTTTCTTAGGTGACTGCAGTTTTTGGACGACCTTGACGGGGATCATCACTGAGCTTGACACGTCCACGTTGAAATTCAATAAACCAGCGATAAATTGTGGTTTTGGATGGGGCTTCATTACCAAATGCAGAAATCATCCGGTCAACACACTGTTTTTGTGTTAAACCACTTCAAAAGTCATAATAAATCATCGCTCGTGAATTTTCTCGAGTCAATTCCATTTTCTCAACGACTAAACAAGTTTGACAAGACCTTGTGATACGACCGAGAATCTTTTTTTAAATAAATAAATGGTATACGATTTTTAAAACCCTGGAGTTTGCAATTAAATAGATTTTAATATGACTGGAACAGTGGAAATATTCCATTCCCGATACTTTTAGTGCAGCCCTCGTAAACTAAGATCTCCAAAATATTAAATGCCTGATAAGATACCTGATAGTTGGGGTGACAGCCTCATTATTGCTGTGTATATGATAGAAGTGTGGTCTTAGGTCCTCAGGGATGTGGGCTGCCGAACCAACTATTACATATCTGCCATCTTCTGTAAAGAGGCTGCATTCCCTGTTCAGCTGTTGTTCCATAAAAGGTAATTGACCAGGATTCAATTCAGACCTCGGATCCCTTTGCTGGCATACATTTACTGTGAATTTAGGCTGCAATATTGAATAATAAATCAAAATTATTATAGACAGTAAGAAATAATTACTGAATTATGTAATTTGATATTTTACATGAGAACTTTTGATTCTACAACCTAAATTACTATGGTAGCAGTACTCTTGGAGTAACCTGTGTAATAGTTAAATCTATACTAATATTATAAATGCGAAAGTAGCTCTATCTGTCTGTCTTGCTTTCACACCTAAACCACTGAACCGATTTTGATGAAATTTGGCATAGAGATAGTTTGAGTCCCGGGAAAGGACAGGATAGTTTTTATCCCGGTTTTTGAAACAGGGACGCGCGCAATAGTTTTTCTGTGACAGACAAAATTCCACGCGGGAGGAAAGCTAGTATTAGTATATTTTATTTACAATAAACAACAATTTTATAATATATTTACATAAAATTAAAATTTACTGAACAAACCTTGAAAAATCTGTAGAAAATATGTGTCCTTATTCTATGATGTGCATCGGCATCAGCATTCAACAAGTCGGAAGGGTAACCGGCCACTAAATCGCCAGCAGCTGACGCGCCTCTGTATTCATAGATCTAAACATAAGACTTTGATTTACTCCCTAAAATAATAAAAAAGTGGTAGATATATTTACATAGTTGATAAATATGACTAACCTCTAGTGATGTTTGGTCTGCGGAAAATGCAATGAAATGCTTTCCATCAGGACTAAATTTCCTCAAAAAACAAGGAGGTTTCTCAACATTCACAATTGTTAAATTTGGAAATACGTTTTGGTAAAATTCTCTTACTACGTGAAAATGCGATCCTGGCTTGCGTGAACCATAAATCTCTCTATCCATTAATCTCATTACAATATTCTGTGGTTTTATTTTTCGTGGAGTAATCCTTTCTGTGCAAATAAATTCACTTTCATCGAGAACTCCTGGAGGTATATCTTCATAATACACAGGTGTGCTACTGGTAGAAGACATAGTGATAAGTTTAGATTTTCGAGCTTTTTCATACCCTATTAAGATTATTGACTAGTTTTTAAATGAAATTCTAAAAATATTTATCAAAAAGCCCGAAATTGAACATTTCGCCGGATTTTTGACGCAAAACACGAATTGAATTTGACAATCGATGACATTGACACTGACAATCAGCAATTTTTTTTTTTTTTTTTTGGTTTCGTTCTTTCCTCTTGCAGGAAAAGGCAAAGGCATTCGCCATACAGCCATGTCTTCAGTTTGTATTCACGGNTTTTTTTTTTTTTTTTTTTTTTTTTTTTTTTTTTTTTTTTTTTTTTTTTTTTTTTTTTTTTTTTTTTTTTTTTTTTTTTTTTTTTTTTTTTTTTTTTTTTTTTTTTTTTTTTTTTTTTTTTTTTTTTTTTTTTTTTTTTTTTTTTTTTTTTTTTTTTTTTTTTTTTTTTTTTTTTTTTTTTTTTTTTTTTTTTTTTTTTTTTTTTTTTTTTTTTTTTTTTTTTTTTTTTTTTTTTTTTTTTTTTTTTTTTTTTTTTTTTTTTTTTTTTTTTTTTTTTTTTTTTTTTTTTTTTTTTTTTTTTTTTTTTTTTTTTTTTTTTTTTTTTTTTTTTTTTTTTTTTTTTTTTTTTTTTTTTTTTTTTTTTTTTTTTTTTTTTTTTTTTTTTTTTTTTTTTTTTTTTTTTTTTTTTTTTTTTTTTTTTTTTTTTTTTTTTTTTTTTTTTTTTTTTTTTTTTTTTTTTTTTTTTTTTTTTTTTTTTTTTTTTTTTTTTTTTTTTTTTTTTTTTTTTTTTTTTTTTTTTTTTTTTTTTTTTTTTTTTTTTTTTTTTTTTTTTTTTTTTTTTTTTTTTTTTTTTTTTTTTTTTTTTTTTTTTTTTTTTTTTTTTTTTTTTTTTTTTTTTTTTTTTTTTTTTTTTTTTTTTTTTTTTTTTTTTTTTTTTTTTTTTTTTTTTTTTTTTTTTTTTTTTTTTTTTTTTTTTTTTTTTTTTTTTTTTTTTTTTTTTTTTTTTTTTTTTTTTTTTTTTTTTTTTTTTTTTTTTTTTTTTTTTTTTTTTTTTTTTTTTTTTTTTTTTTTTTTTTTTTTTTTTTTTTTTTTTTTTTTTTTTTTTTTTTTTTTTTTTTTTTTTTTTTTTTTTTTTTTTTTTTTTTTTTTTTTTTTTTTTTTTTTTTTTTTTTTTTTTTTTTTTTTTTTTTTTTTTTTTTTTTTTTTTTTTTTTTTTTTTTTTTTTTTTTTTTTTTTTTTTTTTTTTTTTTTTTTTTTTTTTTTTTTTTTTTTTTTTTTTTTTTTTTTTTTTTTTTTTTTTTTTTTTTTTTTTTTTTTTTTTTTTTTTTTTTTTTTTTTTTTTTTTTTTTTTTTTTTTTTTTTTTTTTTTTTTTTTTTTTTTTTTTTTTTTTTTTTTTTTTTTTTTTTTTTTTTTTTTTTTTTTTTTTTTTTTTTTTTTTTTTTTTTTTTTTTTTTTTTTTTTTTTTTTTTTTTTTTTTTTTTTTTTTTTTTTTTTTTTTTTTTTTTTTTTTTTTTTTTTTTTTTTTTTTTTTTTTTTTTTTTTTTTTTTTTTTTTTTTTTTTTTTTTTTTTTTTTTTTTTTTTTTTTTTTTTTTTTTTTTTTTTTTTTTTTTTTTTTTTTTTTTTTTTTTTTTTTTTTTTTTTTTTTTTTTTTTTTTTTTTTTTTTTTTTTTTTTTTTTTTTTTTTTTTTTTTTTTTTTTTTTTTTTTTTTTTTTTTTTTTTTTTTTTTTTTTTTTTTTTTTTTTTTTTTTTTTTTTTTTTTTTTTTTTTTTTTTTTTTTTTTTTTTTTTTTTTTTTTTTTTTTTTTTTTTTTTTTTTTTTTTTTTTTTTTTTTTTTTTTTTTTTTTTTTTTTTTTTTTTTTTTTTTTTTTTTTTTTTTTTTTTTTTTTTTTTTTTTTTTTTTTTTTTTTTTTTTTTTTTTTTTTTTTTTTTTTTTTTTTTTTTTTTTTTTTTTTTTTTTTTTTTTTTTTTTTTTTTTTTTTTTTTTTTTTTTTTTTTTTTTTTTTTTTTTTTTTTTTTTTTTTTTTTTTTTTTTTTTTTTTTTTTTTTTTTTTTTTTTTTTTTTTTTTTTTTTTTTTTTTTTTTTTTTTTTTTTTTTTTTTTTTTTTTTTTTTTTTTTTTTTTTTTTTTTTTTTTTTTTTTTTTTTTTTTTTTTTTTTTTTTTTTTTTTTTTTTTTTTTTTTTTTTTTTTTTTTTTTTTTTTTTTTTTTTTTTTTTTTTTTTTTTTTTTTTTTTTTTTTTTTTTTTTTTTTTTTTTTTTTTTTTTTTTTTTTTTTTTTTTTTTTTTTTTTTTTTTTTTTTTTTTTTTTTTTTTTTTTTTTTTTTTTTTTTTTTTTTTTTTTTTTTTTTTTTTTTTTTTTTTTTTTTTTTTTTTTTTTTTTTTTTTTTTTTTTTTTTTTTTTTTTTTTTTTTTTTTTTTTTTTTTTTTTTTTTTTTTTTTTTTTTTTTTTTTTTTTTTTTTTTTTTTTTTTTTTTTTTTTTTTTTTTTTTTTTTTTTTTTTTTTTTTTTTTTTTTTTTTTTTTTTTTTTTTTTTTTTTTTTTTTTTTTTTTTTTTTTTTTTTTTTTTTTTTTTTTTTTTTTTTTTTTTTTTTTTTTTTTTTTTTTTTTTTTTTTTTTTTTTTTTTTTTTTTTTTTTTTTTTTTTTTTTTTTTTTTTTTTTTTTTTTTTTTTTTTTTTTTTTTTTTTTTTTTTTTTTTTTTTTTTTTTTTTTTTTTTTTTTTTTTTTTTTTTTTTTTTTTTTTTTTTTTTTTTTTTTTTTTTTTTTTTTTTTTTTTTTTTTTTTTTTTTTTTTTTTTTTTTTTTTTTTTTTTTTTTTTTTTTTTTTTTTTTTTTTTTTTTTTTTTTTTTTTTTTTTTTTTTTTTTTTTTTTTTTTTTTTTTTTTTTTTTTTTTTTTTTTTTTTTTTTTTTTTTTTTTTTTTTTTTTTTTTTTTTTTTTTTTTTTTTTTTTTTTTTTTTTTTTTTTTTTTTTTTTTTTTTTTTTTTTTTTTTTTTTTTTTTTTTTTTTTTTTTTTTTTTTTTTTTTTTTTTTTTTTTTTTTTTTTTTTTTTTTTTTTTTTTTTTTTTTTTTTTTTTTTTTTTTTTTTTTTTTTTTTTTTTTTTTTTTTTTTTTTTTTTTTTTTTTTTTTTTTTTTTTTTTTTTTTTTTTTTTTTTTTTTTTTTTTTTTTTTTTTTTTTTTTTTTTTTTTTTTTTTTTTTTTTTTTTTTTTTTTTTTTTTTTTTTTTTTTTTTTTTTTTTTTTTTTTTTTTTTTTTTTTTTTTTTTTTTTTTTTTTTTTTTTTTTTTTTTTTTTTTTTTTTTTTTTTTTTTTTTTTTTTTTTTTTTTTTTTTTTTTTTTTTTTTTTTTTTTTTTTTTTTTTTTTTTTTTTTTTTTTTTTTTTTTTTTTTTTTTTTTTTTTTTTTTTTTTTTTTTTTTTTTTTTTTTTTTTTTTTTTTTTTTTTTTTTTTTTTTTCATTCCTTTTTCAGAAAAAGGCAAAGACATGCATAGAAACGTACGCATCAGTAATCAGAGCCCCGATTACGGTAACTTTTAAGACACGCTTCTCGATTCTGCGATACAATTGGTCGTTCAACAGCGTACGTCAGCTGTTTTGACCAATCGTATTGCAGAATCAGAAACGCGTCTGGATTGTAGACGTTAAAAAGTACCGTAATCGGGGCTCTGTGCCCCGATTACGCTAATTTTTAACGTCTCCAATTCATACGCGCTTCTTCTCCAGTTGCGCTCCGTTTTCATTCCAGCAGAGGTGCAAATTCGGTATCGTATTCGATTAACTTTGTCCAACTTTTCGAGTAGTGTAGCTGAGGCTTAACAACAACTTTAATCTGTGTTTTTAAAAAAGAAAAAGTCAACAAATGTCAATGTCAAGCAATTTCAAAAACTCGTCAACCACCAGCAGTTTCGGTAGTGGTATTTTATTTAATTTACGGAGTTTTTATAGTTATTCGCCTGAAATTCATGAAAAATTGGGAAAGCAATCGTATAGAAATAACGAAAGCAACTTCATAATGGACGAACATACGTTACGATATGAGAAAATTGACTTTTTAGGTGAAGGGCAGGTACAAGCAATGTTTTTAGTAAAAACCTAGTTTTCATCGAAATATTTTAATTTATTATGTTTTTTAAACTACGGCAATATATCGACCATCAGATAATATTAATGAAATTTGGTCTAACCTTATTTTTATAGATGTATATTTTAACCATGTTCCATATATTTACCTGCTTGATATTTTTCAGTTTGCTACAGTTTATAAGGCAAGGGATGTGAAAACTGACAAAATAGTGGCAGTGAAAAAGATTAAAATCGGCTCTCGCCTTGAAGCGCAAGATGGTATTAATAGAACTGCTCTACGAGAAATCAAGTTATTGCAAGAACTGCAACATATTAACCTCATAGGATTGCTTGGTAATATTATAAAGCTATTTCATTTCGAATGTTTACGTTTTGAGATTGTGATGATGTTGTGGAAAAATATGATCAACTCTAAAAACTTATTTTTCAGATGTGTTCGGACAAAAATCAAATGTATCTTTGGTATTTGACTTCATGGATACTGACTTAGAAATAATAGTTAAGGATAACAATATAGTACTTACTCCAGCTAATGTTAAGGCCTATATGATTATGACTTTAAAAGGTAAGAATTGTTAGTTTATACATGTTTCAATTGATGAATAGAATTGATGGATAGGTCATACTGAAATATTAACTGTATTTGCCTGATGTTTCGAATAGGTTGCACTGGCAGTGGTCACAGGCTGACTGTTAATTAAATTATGCAAAGCGAAAGATTAAAATTAAGAATTGTTAGCATTTGAGAATAATTGCATCTCTCAAAACTAGTGAATAGTTGTTGGTTCAATTCCATTGATTCCCCAGAGGCTTTTAAAGATTTAAAATAAAATGAAATAAAAGTTCTATTTTGTTGTTTTAAACTCCATTTGAGCTATGCAGCTAAAACAAGTATTTTTTTCAGTTTACCGTTTAACACATTATGTAGACATTTAGAGTAAAGTTGTTTATAATCATATTATATTTTTAGGTTTAGAATATTTACACCAGAACTGGATTTTGCATAGAGACTTAAAACCAAACAACTTGCTTATAAATCGTGAAGGTATTCTAAAAATAGGAGATTTCGGTCTGGCTAAAGCATTTGGATCTCCAACTAGGATTAATACACATCAAGTTGTTACAAGGTGGTACAGGTTAGTGCTATATTTTAGTTATGTTTATAAAAATGCAAATGATAAAATCGGTTCTCACTGAAATTCTGTTAGTGATTAATTTACAAGTAATTCCTTTTTGAAAATTTTTATTGTTTACATTTAACATGAATTTCATACTGCCATAAGTGACCCACTTAAAACTTTTAACCCCTGTGTAGATCAAGAACTGTGTTATGTATTTCCACTGTCTTCAAACATTTCAGATCACCCGAGCTTTTATTTGGGGCAAGGCAATATGGCACTGGAGTGGACATGTGGGCAATAGGGTGTATCCTGGCTGAACTACTGCTCAGAGTCCCATTCTTGCCTGGAGAGTCAGATTTAGATCAACTATCAAGAATTTTCCAGGTGTTTGGAACACCTTCGGAAGAAACATGGCCTGTGAGTATAATATTATTATCAAAGTAGGTATAGGAGTGCTTTATTCTTGTAAACTGCATTCAGGAATGTAGTTAAAATGTTAAATTAAAAATGATTCTAAACTTTTCAACATACATAATCCAGAAATTAATCATGTTTTGACAACTGTTAACTGAACTGTGGGTCTAGACAAAGTGCAAATTATAATCGCAAACCAGTCGAAAAGTGGTCGAAAAGCCCCTTTTTTGTATGGTGTTTTGACGGATTCGATTTTCGATTCGATTAAAAAGTGCGTTTTGTCTAAGGGGGCTGTTGCAGTTTAACAGAAATTGTTCAATTGAGTCTACTGAGAATAGTATTGATTGTCTAGGTTGTAGCATCAAGCTGTATAAAGGCTGATTTCTGTGTTTACATGTAATTAATAAATTAAAATTAAGTTTAATTTTAGTACTTAACAACTTTAAATGTGTAAATCAGCCTTAAGTGTTCATTTAAAAATGATTTCCTTTATTTTCTAGGGAATGAAGAATCTCACGGACTATGTGCAGTTTAAGCAGTTTCCGCCGCAACAGTTGCGCCACATATTCAGTGCTGCTTCAGACGACCTTATACAGCTGTTAGAGAGCTTGTTATCCATTTACCCTCCAAAGAGGTGTGATTGTACACAAGCTTTACAAATGTCTTATTTTAGGTAAGTTGCAGCCATATTCACATCCACTACAAAACTTTTAATAGTGTTATTATGATGAGTTCGTTTTGTACTTTAAAAATATTTTTTTTACTTTTTTAATGTTTTGAGTGTACAGTCAGCATCAAATAATTATTGGCACCATTGAGGGTTTTCGCGATTGAAAAATCCGCCAGATGGTAATATAGTTCCAAAATACTGGACTGTCCTGTCGATGACATTGACAGTGGGGCGCCACTGTCAATACCGGATCGCTGGTTCAGATATTTGCCATGTTGGAAACCATATAGTTGAACGATGGTAGCGCCCCCCTGTCATTGAGTTTGGCGGGACAGTTCAGCGTGGGTCATCTATACGTAGACGGGAGGTCCAAATGCTCCTTTTGTACCCTTTGCACCACCGGCCTGCACCACTGGTGGTGCAAAGGGTATTTTTAAATCCCTCTTGCACCACCAACAAATAGTGCTGTGCTACCATCGACTGTAAAACTAGTAGTAGACTGTAAAATACTTAATAATTTAATTGTTATAAATAAATCAAACCTACCTAAAAGTTTTAATTTGTGTGTGTGTAAGTGCCTATAAACATTTCACTTCAAACCCATGATACCCCGGACCTACATCCTACATACAACGAATAAAGTACCAGGGCAACATAACCATAAAGGAGCTATACATGTTTTTTTCCCGGATTAACCAAGAAGAATTTGATATAGCTCCTTTATGATTATGTTGCCCTGGTACTTTAGGAATATTATTCGTTATAAAATATGTAGGTATGAATGGTTGTTATTTATTTTTATGTTATGTCAAATCTGTCCAGTAGTTTTGGAGCCTATTCAGTACAAACAAACAATCAATCTTTCCTCTTTGTAATATTAATATTATATGATTATAGATAATCGTTTTACAGTTAATGGTAGGGCAGCACTATTGGTGGTGCAAAAGGGATTAAAAAATACCCTTTGCACCACCAGTGGTGCAGGCCGGTGGTGCAAAGGGTACAAAAGGCAAATGCTGCATGATTGGTTATTTTTGACATGACACTGACATATATGTCAAAATCCACCAATCATGCAGCATGTGGACCTCCCGTCTACGTATTGCCATCTGGCGGATTTTTCAATCGCGAAAACCCTCATTTTTGGCTACTTTGGGTGTCACGAACTATTTGACGCTGACTTTACTATGTTGTTATCATTGTTACAGCAACAAACCAGCTCCAACTGTCGGCGCGAAACTCCCCATGCCTTCCAATATCACAAAAATAGAGACTGAGAAGCCTTCACTAAAGAGAAAACTTCTGGAAAATATTGATGGAGGATCATTAGCAAAGAGGCTACAGTTTTAACTGCTTCCCCAAGTTTATATCACAGCTAGTACAATGACAGAGGTGCAATTTCATAACTGGAAGAAGCATTATTTTTTATGTATGTATAGTAAATGAATTATTAGTTTTAAGTGAAGGCATCCTAAAATTGGGTGAATCAATCTCGATTACATAAGCTGGACTTTTGGTAGTGGCTCCACACTTGACACATTAATAATTACAACAAAAATTTAAACAAGTATGTGACAGAAAGCTCAATTTTGTAATAACTGTATGATTAAAAATATATTAATTTGATATAAAATAAAACAATGTTTTAATAATATAGTAAAATATATTCTGTCAGGTTTAGCTTACGTTTCTATGCACCAGAATTTACAAAACAGTAACAATATGATTATATAACTATTATGAAGTTCGATTTAATAATAGCCAAGAGCACAAGATTTCATAGTAATAATACTTCAGTCATTACAATATTGCGTAACCTAAGCTGGTAACTAGCATTTATAAATAGACATGGTAAGTCGTTACATCTACATTTGGCATTATTCGATAAACACTTACTCACGAGAGCGAAGCATTGAATGGCACAGTATTAGAACACAACGACGTCACTATAAAGTTGCCGATTTATTCAAACACAATAATTGGTTTCATCACTCAGATAGAGGGACTGGTCTGGCCAACCTGAAAAAATGTTAAAAAAAATACTTGAATGGTCTCATTACAAGGAGATAAATGGCGATAAATCGATAATAAAGCCACGATAGCCGAACGGTGAAAGCGTCGGACAGGACTGGCCGACTCGTGATCCGGGGAACGCGGGTTCGGTCCCCGCCGCCGCTCGACTATTGTGGTCAAGCTCTCTCGTGAATCAAGCATTTTTAGTTTAGTACGAGGGGCTAACGGGACTAAAAAATCAGCAGCTTTGCGTTCGGGAGTGCTAAGAGCTCTTACACACGAGCAGCACATTGACGACAGCAAAGGCGACCGCAGTCGCCGTCACTTGTCGGCAGCTAGCCGTCGACGTGCCCGCAGCAAGCTGTCGACACGTCGACGGCAGACGTCGACGAGTCGACAGCTTGCTGCGGCGACCGTGTCGGCGTACGTCTTTGTACAGGAGCCAGCCAGTTGAAAATGGATTTCATTGAAGAAACACTGTTGTTGCATTTACGTCGTCGTCGACGAAAGAGAAAGAACCGGTCATTGTGGGTTTAAGAAATGTTATTGAATAGAGAACGAGACTACACACACCGACGCCCATGCTCTATTTTTTAATGTTTTATTATGGTAGCCTTCTAAATTCGAGTTCCATATTATTTCATTGTTTTTGACAGCACTATTTTTTTAGCAATTCCGAATCAATTTGTTCGGAACTCATTAGGTGTGCGTGTAAGCTCCTGGACTACTGACAGTTGACCTTCAAAATGGCGGAGGCGGCTAGCTGTCGCCACCTGCCGGCGGCAGCCGCGAACGCGTCGACAGCACGTCGGCAGCATGTCGACAGCTAGCCGTCGCCTTCTGACGTCGACTGCAGTTACATGCGTCGACAGCAAAATGCTGTTCGTGTGTAAGAACGTCAAAAAATTCAATGAAACCGTACGTGTTCATCTTCCAAATGGTGTAAGCCATTCGCGCTAGGTGTGTCTTCGTGGTGCGGTCCGCGGCGCCTGCCTCGGCCGCCGGGCGCTCGTAGATCACCGCATCTTTGCATTGCACTTTCAGTCCTATCACCAGACAGTAACGTATGAAATAAATAAATAATAAATAAATAAATCTTTGGACAATTTCACACAGCGCCAGCTAGCCCCAAAGTAAGCAACTTAATGCTTGTGTTATGGGTGCTAGCTTAACGGGTATACTACTTATATACTTTTTTTTTTAATACATAAATATTATACATAGTCACACCCAGACCCGTCACAGAAATTAAAATTCATCATTTCAATTTCTGCCCGGCCGGGAATCGAACCCGGGACCTCTCGGCATAGTAGTCCGTTCTGAACCACTACACCAAACGGCCGACAATTAAAAAAAAACAAAAGAAAATTAAGTAGCTTTTCCTACCTGGGAAATGATATCCACGATACAAGGTAAAAAGGTTTTGGTCATCATATCAAAGCGGAATTTTAAGATTTTAAATTGGCAAAGAAGTAAAGGACTCACCAAAATCCAAATGATCTCCTTTGTTGTTTGGTTTGTGCTTATTACATTTTTTGCTCTTCTTTATGGCGGTCTGTACACAAAATTTATTTTGTTTCTTCTGTAATTTCTTACATCTAATTTTTTTTTCGTTTTTATATTTTACTTTTCATGCAGCGTTTACGTTCACACTTTCTGCAGGCAAACACAATATTTCATATTAGTTTGGATGCAATAGTGTTTAGTGGTAATGTTCTAAGTGCCAATTCATAGAGTGCAATGTGCATTTAATTATAAAACATTGTGTTAGCCATCAGGTAGTAAACTACATTAAGTTCATGAAATGGCCTGAGAACATTGAATCAGTGGCATCCTTTACCTTGGGTGAGTTGGATACTACGGAGAGCCGTCCATATACGCCATACTTTCTTTCATCTTCGGGCCTCAGTGTACCCATTTTTTTCATGACTAGATATATCTGCAGAAAAAAGTATATGAAGGAATGCATTTAAAATAATCACAAACTCAATAATGTTTACAACATTTACATACCTGTTCCAACATGCCATAACTCCTTATTAGGAAATCCCTCTGAGCCAGAAGATTGACTCTCTCGCGTTCCTCCTTCTCAACTATGGGATCAGGTTCATACGAGCAAAGCACGTAAGGTGGCTTTATTTCTTTTTCTGGGACCTAAAATCATAAGGTTGATTCTCATAAAAAAAAACCGTTAAAAGTCTTCTAGTTGAAAAACAGACCAAACCTTTATGACCAAAACTATTAAGAGTAATAAGTAAAACTTTATCATTATTCTTTCTAAGAATATGCGCAGACTATCAACTTTTAGTTGGTTGCCGATTTAGTTGGGTCCGATTTAATTTGTATGAATAATCGCCGATACCAAATCGGTGAAATGTGCGCACTTCCATACACACCCATACTGATTAACTGCCCGACTAAACTATCGGCCGACAAAAAATCGGTGGTCTGCGCCTAGGCTAAGGATCATAAAAAAAATTGTTGGAAAATAGAAATTGTCAATATCCCTACCGGTTGTTGCGCAAGCGATGGTTTGGCGGTAAGTTTCTTATCCTTGTCGTTATCCTTCCGTTTTTCTTTGTCCTTGTCGCTCCGTGGCTTCTGCTTGCCCTTCTCTGAGGCCACGGTGGCGGTGGCGGTGGAGTTGGTGACGGTGGGCGGGCCACTCGTCTCCTCTCCCTTCTTCTCACCTTCTTTCAAATTCTTCGGCTGGGACGGCTTCTTTAGGGCTTCGGCTTTGGCTTTTGTTTGCTAGATGTAGAACAGACATATTAAATACAAGTCCGATTTCTTAACAAGTGATGATATCAAATGGGTGTGTTTCGAACTGATGAACTCTACTCTTTCCTTAAATTGTAATTTCTGTCTAACCAAGATCGGGATTGATGAAAATTGACAAAATCGGTTCGAAGTAAAAGTATCTAAGCGGCCTTTGTGACCTCTTTACTATCATCATCATGATCAACTACTCTCTACTGTAGGAGCACGACACTAATTTACCAGATGCAAACGAAGGATTTGGATTACACATACCGAATCTCTAATCTACACTAAATACACTCCACGATGGCCAGATGGGTTGGGAGGATGGTGCCATAGTACCTGGGTCTCACAGGCAAGACAGCCGTGTCACTCGTTGTTAGTTTATTTTGATACAAAACTAGTAGTAGGTGTTGCTGGCAGTTTGGCCAGCAATCCTCTTTTGATAATTGTTTATGGTTTTTTTACTTTTTATTAATATTGTTTTAGATTTTGAAGTTGCCTTTTCTGCTCCTGTGTTCTAGTGTTAATATCTTGAGCAATATACCTTTTTGGCCCTATTTTGGAGTGTTTCCTTGCTTCTAGCATAATATCACCACCGGCAGGCCTATCTATAACATACAGTCCACTCCATCGTTTTTAACAGTAGGTATTCGAAATCCGGGACAACAAGGTCTAATCATAGGACAAGACGCAAAATTCTGGGACAATCCCGGACCCCGGCCATCTTGCAAGTCTACCTGGAACTCCTCCCGTTGTATCCGCGTGCAGTCGCCGCGCGCGCGTGAAGACGCCGTTCCGGTGTACAGCGAGCCGGACGGCTGCTGGAACAGCGACGCGTACTGCTCGCCCACCGGATACACGCGTCTGCCGTTACAGAACACCATTTGGAGAATCAAAGGTTTAAGGATGGGGGATGAACTTCAAGGGACTCTGAAGTCATCATAAGCGCGGATGAAAAAACACATGCCTCCGAGTCCGGCATAACTTATATCGGACTCGGAGGCATGTGTTTTTTCACATGGTTAAGTCAAAGTCAAAATTTCTTTTTAGACTATTAAATAGTTCTTACAAATCGTCAATTATTTTGCTCTTAAGGAGCCTCTACATGTCTCATCATCTTTTTACCCCAACCAACGCTTCGAGAACACCATTTGGCAAGTGCTGAGAAGAAGCGCCGCAACAAACTCAGTCACCACTGTCTGCTGGTTAATATAAATAAATAAATATGTTATGTCACATAACCTGCTGCAGCCAGCTCCCATTTGAAGTTATTAATGTCGAATATCATAATTGAATTGTCTGTGGACTCATGAAGTATAAGCTTTTTCTTTGCACGGGGAAATAACGCAGAACTGCCTTGCAGTGGATGCTGCGGCAGGTAACGTGGCTCCCAGAATCGGCCTCATGTGCCCATCATTGCTGGCAGTCATGACATTGCACGAAAATAGATTATAGTCAAGGAATACTAGTTCAAACAAAACTGGAACTAGGTAGAGTAACACTTCGGAAAATCGTCGAAACTTTACAAACCTGAAATTTCCCAGATGCGTCTCCTCCCACTGTATTTGCGTTTGCCACGGACTTTTCTCTGGTTCCTTTTCATCAGCTGGCACGAACTCGGCAAACCTGTGAACAGAATCTTCCCTTTTGTCCTGTTGAACCTAAATTCCAAAAGAATCTGGGTTCTAATTAAATTCAGTTCGGAGTTTCGTTCTTTCGGGTTTTCATCATCATCATCTCAGCCATAGGACGTCCACTGTTGAACATTGGCTTCCCCCAGTGCTTTCCATGTTGCCTGGTTAGTAGCGGCCAGCGTCCAGCGCCTTCCTGCTAGCTTTATGTTGCCGTCGGTCCACCTTTTGGGTTTTGGTGGGGAGGCGATTCTCGTTCAATCGTGATTATCGAAGTAGAATAAAGGATGAAATTGTGACTTCCTCGCATGAACGATGCCGAACATGCGATTTCCTTTCTTTAGAGCTTGAGAAACATCTAAACATCATGTTCACAATCACAAGGTATGGTAAAAATACGAACTTGTTGGTCTGCAGCAGCCGGTCGCGGATGCGTTTGCGGTCCTCCTCGAGCACGCGCTTCTTGTCGCACTGCCAGATGTTCAGCATCGTGAACGTGTCCGTTAGAAGGCTCTCCTTCACCTCGCGGTCCAGCTGCGTGTCCGTGTGGAAACTTGGCGAGTGATTTACCTGCCATAAACGAGTTCGTTTAAGCTCAGAACCCACTGAAGAGCGATGCGGTACCGGGAGTGTTCTATAGCATGCATTGTAATGTCCAATCGAGTTGCAATGCAATGCACCATCATCAGGAACCTACCGCGGTAGCATAAACAGCATTCAGAACGATTACCGCTTTAGTGGATTCTGCTCTTTGCCTACCCATTTAACAACTTTTATCTAAGCTATTCTAACAAGCTTTTGTCCTAAACCTTATCAATGTTATGTACTTACTTCTAATATGAAGGGATGCAACTTATGATCCAGAAGTATATCGAAGCCAAGTATTTCGAAACACGCATGTACCTGTGACAAAAGAAATGTTTTGTACGTGCTCACATTAAATCCCGTCACGAATTCAAAGTTATTTCAAGTGGGTATAACGGAAAGAAATCTAGGACATACCATGTCGTGTGAAGGGAAGCACGCGTGGTAGCTGTGCTTGAGTATCGGCCACGCGGAGATGATGGTCTTCACGATGACCTGGTCGATGGAGTGCCACAGCCGGTCCAGGTCGATGCCTTGCGACACCAGGATCTTGTTTAGCGTCGATATCTTGCTGGCATGCGGAAAGTTTAGTTAGCTATTAGGTCTAGCATTTGAATTCATCATCTGTCCTTAATTTCGAACTCATCCTATGTTCTTCTGATTAATTTCGCTGCTGGTCCAATGACAAAGTAAGTTTCTCCTGGGACAAACTTGACCTTTGCTGGTTGGGTTTTATTGGCAGTCAAGCTGTAGATCCCTACACAGGAGTTGCAGCGGTTGGAACGACGAGAGATGAGTATAGTCCCGTCGCATGATTTGATAGTAAGTAATCAAATGAAATATTTGTGTGGACCTAATGAAATAGTACCTACTTAAAACCGACATATTTCAGTCATAAGGAGCCTTTTACAATGTCTATTTTTTTTCCTTAAAGCACTTCAAAACTAATGTTTTGGAGAAAGAAGAACAAGTGCAGAGAAATAAGAAGCGCCTCAACAACCTTCGTCCCCATCAGTTCGGGGGATGCAAATGTCCAGCAGTGAAAGTCCAATGGCTGCAATAATGGATGATTGGTTTTTCTATTAACGATAACGGCTACAGACCTACAGTGATGATACCTGCTATAATAATGGTAACTACGATTACCGTTTGCTGCCCGCCTCCGAGTCGTAAACGTAGGTACGACTGTGCTTGTTGAGCGCATAGTTAGTGAGGTGCATGAACACGTTCGTAGTATTGTTGACGTTCGGATCGGCGTACCGGCTAGTGGCGAATCTGAAATAAAGTAATGTTCAGCCAATGTTCATTGGTTTTGTAGAAAAATATGTTCTCATTATGTCGAAGACTGGGATAAATCATCGAATCGTTGAAAACGGAGGATTCGGATATAAGTTCTTTTGGATAGACGTTTGAAAAGAAAGAATGCCCCAAATTATTTGTGGTTGTGTTTAAAGTTTCTTGGAATTAAGAGGATTCACAACAATGCAATAGTGCGATATAGATTTGATATTTTTTTTTACTTTAGGTAAAGTAGGTAGGTACCAATGGTTTTTTCTCCAAACATCAAATACTTAAATTGCAAGAAAGAAAACAATGAACGAACTTCAGTCAGATGTCCTCCATGAACTTGCAGCTTTATTGTTTCGATTAACTTAATTGCGCAACTTGTCAAGGGCGAGCTATTTTCAGACTGATTACCTTAGTGCAGCAAACAGTTTGATTTACCTTTTCCAGCTTACCTTACTAAGCCTTCGTTGTACACGAATATCCTGAGTGGATCGCATGAAGTGATTAGCGTGTACACTCTAATATCGAACTTATATCCGTCCACTAGGTATGGTTTTGAAATGTACACCTGGAAACGTTAATTTGAAAAACTTTCGGTCACGAAAAAGAAAAGTTTTGTCTAAGTATTATGATGTGCTGAACTTAAAAATAGACAGGGTTACCTGACAGATAAGTTTATCTGTAGGTTTGATGTCCTTTAGTGATTTTGTGAGATAGATGCCACGGCCCTGACTCCCGCATTCGGGCTTAATGATAAAAGTTTTGTTCTTCCTTGATTTACTGTAGTTGAGAGCTTCTCCGAAACTAAAAAATACAAACAAACGCCAAGTAAGTCAGGCACTTATACTAAAGTTTTAAGGCAGAGTAATTACAAACTATAAAATGACTGCGTGATATTAAAGCTATGAAAGTCTTGACTCTATACCTACTCATTACTGAAAAGTATCAAACTTACTCGGCAGGCAAGCACCAAGTTTTCGGGAAGAAGTTATACTCCTTCGGGTATATTTTTTGCATTCTGTTCAAGTTCCTTGCCAACAGATCCTTTCTGTGGGCACACAAGTTTTATTAGTGATAAATGGGCATAGCGACTGTCGGCTATGCGGCGGCCGTGGCACGCGATGCAGTAATTTATTTGTCAGGGTCTCTTTAAAACTTTAATTAACTCCTTGTACAGTACCACGTTTTGTTTTGAGCTAAAAATAACGAACTATCAATATAATATACCTACCATCTACGTAACGGATTGTTCAGACCCAAAACACGTATTATTAAGTATTCGATTAGCAGTGCTAACAGAAATAACTATAATACCTCTACAAAAATATTGAACTTCATGAGCTATTGCCTTCCTTTCTCTCTGGATAAATGTGTTGGCTAATTACTTAGCTGCTCTAGGAAATTGCATAACTGTATCTACATTATACTGCAGAGGAGTTAGAGATACCTACTCTGTATTACAATTTAGGCGGTTTTATCGTTAGAAAGCGATCTTTTCCAGACAATCCCATAGGGACGACAATTTTGTTCATCATCATCATCATTTCAGCCATAGGACGTCCATTGCTGAACATAGGCCTCCCCCAATGCTTTCCATGTTGATCGATTGGTAGCGGCCTGCGTCCCCAAGTAGCAATTGGTATTAATGGCAAAATCTTACTTGTCTTAATCCTATCTAAATTAACACTTAAGCTAAAACCAAATTAACTTAGAATAGAGATTTTTTTCTTTAAGACTTTATATTCTTCATCGAGCGCTACTTAAGCAAATTAAGAATACCCAAAACCAAGTTAAGTATTCTTTAGATAATTTGGTCTTAAGTTATTCTTAGCTTAAGTTAAAAAAAACTTATTTTACTAAATTAAGATTTTTTGTATGCTCACTTAATACTAAATAGTATAGATAAAGTATTATTTAAGTGTTGCAAAGTAAATAAAGTATTCGTAGATTTACTTAGGACTTTTTAAAGACCATTGTCTTAGAAATAGTTTTCTGAAGATTAAGTTAATTACTTTTTGACTGGAATTAGTACATTTTGAGAAAAAATACAAATTCGTGTTTTTTTGGTTATTTGATAAATTTCTCCAAAAAATGCCCCTATAACCTGTGGTTTTTATTACTTTGTATTATTTTCTATCGTATTACCTTCGTAAAACCAAAAATCGCATGTCTCTATCCCTATCACAACATTTGCTATGATCGTTTGAACAAAGGCCTGCCACAACATTATTCTCCGCAACAGGTAGAGACAATTTTAATTTTAACTAAAATGCTTATTTTACTTCGAATTTTTTTGTTTTTATTTGAAATCTAACTTGTCTTTATCAAAATTACAAATCTAGAGCCATTTTCAGTTTCGTTGTTAACGAAGCGTTGAATGGCGCGCCCGGAGAGGCTTAGTTCAAACGATCATAGCAAATGTTGTGATAGGGATAGAGACATGCGATTTTTGGTTTTACAAAGATAATACGATAGAGAATAATACAAAGTAATAAAAACCACCTATTATAGGGGCATTTTTTTGAGAAATTTATCAAATAACCAAAAAAATACGAATTTTTAAGCAGATTTTTTTCAAAAAGTATATTTTTTTATTATTTGTTGGCACATTCTGGGTATTTTATGTATTTTTTTGGTATTGCCTGTTATTTAGCATTATTACTGTTTTTATTTTATCAGGATATACCTCTTAGTTTAAAAGTTATTACGTTTTCTTTACGAGAAGTAATTGGAAGAAAAAAAATTCTATAAAAAAATAAAAAAAAAAAATCTCAAAAATTTTTTGACCTCTTTTTTGTCGATAAAAATAGGTCTAGTTTCACATATTTTCATATGTACACTTTAACGTGACTCACACTGTATTTGCTCGTAGTTACCCTGCCTAAAAAAAAACCCTAGCTACGCCAAAGCTAGCGTTATTTGATAAGGATCAGATAAAAACACAAAATAATCTTGCGTGCATACCAATGTTATTTATACCATTTTGCAAGGGGAAAGGGATTTGTGGTTAGCCCTCCCAAGTAGCAATTGGTATTAATGGCAAAATCTTACTTGTCTTAACCCTATCTAAATTTACACTTAAGCTAAAACCAAATTAACTTAGAATAGAGATTTTTTTCTTTAAGACTTTATATTCTTCATCGAGCGCTACTTAAGCAAATTAAGAATACCCAAAACCAAGTTAAGTATTCTTTAGATAATTTGGTCTTAAGTTATTCTTAGCTTAAGTTAAAAAAAACTTATTTTACTAAATTAAGATTTTTTGTATGCTCACTTAATACTAAATAGTATAGATATAAAGTATTATTTAAGTGTTGCAAAGTAAATAAAGTATTCGTAGATTTACTTAGGACTTTTTAAAGACCATTGTCTTAGAAATAGTTTTCTGAAGATTAAGTTAATTACTTTTTGACTAGAATTAGTACATTTTGAGAAAAAATACTCTTAACGGGACGATTTCGATAAATTTACACTTAAGCTAAAACCAAATTAACTTAGAATAGAGATTTTTTTCTTTAAGACTTTATATTCTTCATCGAGCGCTACTTAAGCAAATTAAGAATACCCAAAACCAAGTTAAGTATTCTTTAGATAATTTGGTCTTAAGTTATTCTTAGCTTAAGTTAAAAAAAACTTATTTTACTAAATTAAGATTTTTTGTATGCTCACTTAATACTAAATAGTATAGATAAAGTATTATTTAAGTGTTGCAAAGTAAATAAAGTATTCGTAGATTTACTTAGGACTTTTTAAAGACCATTGTCTTAGAAATAGTTTTCTGAAGATTAAGTTAATTACTTTTTGACTGGAATTAGTACATTTTGAGAAAAAATACTCTTAACGGGATGATTTCGATAAAACAGGATCACGCACGCCTATTAATTCAAGGTAATGCACCTGCGTGCGCAGCTTATAGTATTAATTTTTGATACAAAATGCGTGCGGTCGCCCGCAAACTAAATTATGCTATTACTAGCGGCCGCCCGCGACTTCGTACGCGTGGATCCCGTTTTACCCCCTTCATCTATCTTACGCGGTTTAGATTTTTTCATACAAATGTTTTTTCCCGCTGACTCCCGTTACCGTGAGAATTTTGCAATATCCTGTTGTAACTAAGCTTTAAGTTTACTAAGATACCTGCATGCCAAATTTCAAGCGTCTACCTTAAGCGGTTTAGATTTTTCATACAAAAGGATTTTCCCGCTTATTCCCGTTCACGTGGGAATTTTGCAATATCCTGTTGTAACTAAGCTTTAAGTTTACTAAGATACATGTAAGCCAAATTACAAGCGTCTAACTTAAGCGATTTAGATTTTTCATACAAAGGGATTTTCCCGCTAATTGCCGTTCCCGCGGGAATTTTGCAATATCCTGTTGTAACTAAGCTTTAAGTTTACTAAGATACCTGCATGCCAAATTTCAAGCGTCTAACTTAAGCGGTTTAGATTTCTCGTACAAAAGGATTTTCCCGCTAATTCCCATTCCCTTGGGAATTCCTAAGTATACTATAACCTGCCCAGGAGTACGAAGAATAATTGTACTAAGTTTCGTTAAAATCCGTCGAGCAGTTTTTGTTTCTATAAGGAACATATAGATGGACAGACAGACAGACAAACATTTTACTGATTGCATTTTTGGCATCAGTATCGATCACTAATACTAACTATAGTCCGATTTTTAATTCGACGGAATTCTGACAGCTGTCATTTTTTGACAATTCAGATGTAATAAGCCTTTTTTGCTTAAAATTAATAATAAATAATATTAAATTAAATTTCATCAAGTACAACTTACAAGAATGAACTATTGTTTGTATTGTGAATTCAATGTACACTAATTATTATGTACATTTTAGAGATTAAATAGAAAAAAACGTGTTTTTAACACAGTAAAACAACATATTAACATAAACGAAAATATGTATTGATCATCAATCATCATTGTCGTAATCATAATCAACTTGGATTATAAAATTGGCAGCTTGTTAAATTGATTATTTTATGAAGCTAAGATTTTATTAACAAAAGGATTTTCATAAAAAAGGTTTGTAACCCATGGATTATTGGGCAGGGATTCCAGTAATAGAAAAGTAATTTCCCAATTTTTTTTGTAACTTCCATAATATGATAATAAAAATTCAAATAACCATTTTGAAATGATCAGTACATTTTTAAGCCTTAGTTTTTCAAGTGAAACCTTAAATTCAAGAAAGGATTATTTTTTAATTTGTGAAAATGCTCTCCATTCTTAGTGGGAATGTTTCAATGTTGACAACACTTCTGAAATGTCAAAATTCCGTCGAATTAAAAATCAGAGTTTAGGTGACAGTAGGCCTACCTTTAAAAAAATCTTAACATAATAACTACCGAAAAATATTTCTATTAATTGTAATCCACACTTATTTACGCTTCTCAATCTTCTCATTTAATAAATTAGAAACACTGTGTGATTAAAGAAGAACGGTCATCTGTGACCCAGGCCCGACAGAAACGAGACATACCTCAGTTTTTTTGTCATGTCTTAATTAGTTAAATTATATATTTTTTATATTCGAAATCTATGTATAACACCAAAATATTACCCTTTGTTTTTGTTTAGGCGTTATACAAAAACTAATACAAAATGCCTATTTATCACCAAAATTGGTAAATGTATGTACCTAAATGTCTATTACAGCTGCTATGGAATGTATCTAGGTGACCTGGAGATACAGCCGGATTATACAGGGTGGAAAAAATAATAAGTTACAAAATCCAAAAATTCAATGTTACCAGCTTCCATAATCTGTACCCTATTATTGGTACCATTTGAAAGAGCTCGTGAAGCGCTTTCAGAATCAGTAACTAGTTTTTCGATATCTTGTATAGTTTAGAAATAATCGAGTGAGATCACTTATCGTTCCATATGTATAACCACCCTGTATAATCCGGTTGTATCTCCAGGTCACCTAGATACATTCCATAGCAGTTGTAATAGATATTTAGGTACATACATTTACCAATTTTGGTGATAAATAAGCATTTTGTATTAGTTTTTGTATAACGCCTAAACAAAAACAAAGGGTAATATTTTGGTGTTATACATAGATTTCGAATATAAAAAATATATAATTTAACTAATTAAGACATGACAAAAAAACTGAGGTATGTCTCGTTTCTGTCGGGTCTGGGTTTTTTTTGTATGGGGCGTGACCGTTCTTCTTTATCAAAATCACAAATTGTTAAAATTCCATAAAAACAATTAAATAAAAACTTTTCACAATAAAATATGTCATGTGTTCATTAATACGGCAAAAATCATATGGCCGATATTCAATAAATTTAATTGCTTATCTCTGAGTGTCGCAATTACAAAGTTCAAAGAATTACTTTACGAAATATGCGGGTGGTGCAATTTACCCGCCCTATATGTTATAACAAAACTAAAAACGTAAAAACCATTTAAAATCCTATTAGACCCATTTTCGACTTCCACACGGACAATCCGAGGAAGAAATCATGTAATTAATAAATTAGTTAGTAAATGAATTGTTCCTTAATGTTTAGCAGGACCAATAATTTAGCAAGACTGAGACAGAATGAAAACTATATAGTTTTAACTAAATAAAACTAAAGATCTACTTGATACCATATGCACTTAAGTAATACTTCATCAAGTGAATTTTAAGTGTAAGTTAAATCCAATGTTTCTAAACTAATACTATGTAAAGTATAACTTGACTCAACTCTTTCTTCACTAAACTTACAAATTCAAAATCTTCTATACTCTTGCTACATTAAGACAAATTAGAATTACCGCCATTATGAGCTATGTGTAACAAAAAATAAATCAGAAATTCACCAATAATATCATAACAAGAGAACATTTAAATTGAAGTACGTCTTTGTTTCACTTTTTCTAGTTGCATAAATGTCTAGGAACGTTTGCATAAAATAAAATCTTATTTTATAACCTCAAAGTTTTCTTTATACAATACAATTTCGTAATATTTTATTTATCTTATTAGGTTTTTTTCAAGGCCCTCCTGTTTTATAACATTATCCATTGATTTTACACGAGAAACCACAATGCGTTTTATATTTCCTATGCAAAAATGACATCCACGGTCTATTCTAGACATAATATAAATTAGTTATTAAAATAATTTAATCGCCATTTTCATTAACCTTTATCTAAAGTTGATTTAGTGTTAAAGATCACAATGTTTACTAAATTAAAGTTCCTCTTTAATAAAAAGTGTCTTACATAGTTCTTCATGAAGTTAAATAAACCTTAGCTGTAAAAATAATTATTACTCTTAAATAAGTATTCAAGATATCTTCAACTCTATTTCCTTGTCTACAGTCATACTACAATTTATATTATAGTACTTGTTTAGAAATTCTTAAAACTACACTCTTAATTAGGGTTTAAGTCTGCCTTAAGCGTTGTCTTAACTCTGTCTCAGTGATTTCCAAAGGATTGTGCCCTTTTTTGCTTACCATTGTCTTGGGGCATAACTTCAAGATTTCTTGAGTGCGACTATTGTCTTGGCCAAGACAACGGCTGGAATTAGGCTACTGGTCTTCAAGATATCTTCAATGCCTTATGAAGATAATCTGTTGCTACTTGGGTCCAGCGCTTCCCTGCTACCTTTACGATGTCGTCGGTCCACCTTGTAGGTGGACGTCTCACGCTGCGTTTTCCGGTACGCGGCCTCCATTCCAGAACCTTTCTGCCCCACATCGGCCGTCAGTTCTGCGTACTATGTGCCCTACCCATTGCCACTTCAGCTTGCTAATCCGTCGGGCTATGTCAGCGACTTTGGTTCGTTTACGGATCTCCTCATTTCTGATTCGATCTCGCAAAGAAACTATCGCAATTTTGTTCATACGAGTATAAAAGAGGAAACCCATAAAGGAAGGTAAGGTATAGGAATGAAGAGAGCTTTCTACATAAGTTATTTACCTGCAAATCTCAAGCATCCCTGGGAAGTGGTTGATGCGTTGGAACCTCTTCATCTCCTTCGCGCGCTCGACAGAGACACTCATGTCGGTCCAGTAGAAGTTCCACGCGTCCTCCTCAGACACCTCACGCATGCCGAAGGCACTCGCCACTTTGCGGATCGACTCGTACCGGCAGTTCGTGAGGCATATCGATATTTGAGATCTAGTAGGACAGAGTAAAATAAGATAGATAGATAGATATATGGTTTATTTGCAAAACACATTGACACACACGAAGCAAAAAGTAAACACAGGAGTAGCAGGAATGATATAGTACATTACAAAGAGTAAAAAAGAAAATCCTGCGCTAAGGTATAAGTGTGCCGCAGCGATGCAAAAAAGCAGAGAGCTTAGTGTAGACACTGCTCTAAAATGAGCAGAACACTGATTTTCAGCTCTTGCTTGAAACTCTGTCTATCTATAATTACTTTAATTGCATCTGGGCGTATAAGAACAATGGTCCTCCTAACAGAACATGAACTGGTACTAAGGGCCCTCGCCCACGGCGACAGCATCGCTACTAACGCGTGTTAGTCGCATTTGCAACGCACTACTGAAGTGATGCCAACGCCCTACAGCAACACGACTGAATCGCTACAAAAAGTCGCTGTGGGCGAGGACCCTTAGGTAGCAAGAAACTAAAAAGTGATGATTATTCGCATCCAACTAATTTCAGTCATGGTGACCACTTCCGACTCCTGTCTTAGCGGCGCTGTTGCGCCCGAAGATAGCTTACGTATCCGATCTTCACGGCAACTAAATTAAAGTAGAATTTTAATGAAGGATATCTTAGGAAATTTAAATTCAGATAGTCTACTAGATCTATAAACTAGGCAACTTAACGCCAATACCATGATGAAGTGAAACCATGACGGGAAACTCAAAATAAAACTTGAGCTAAAACACGAGTTGTGTTTCCGCCGCGGTAGAAGTGTGCTACCAGCTTTACGTGAAGGTACCTACCTTTTTCTCTTCTTTTTCTTGCGGGTGGCCTCAATAGGAATGATGGGTGCGGTGCGCGAGGTGGGCTGCGAAGTGTCGTCTTCGCCATAGAGCTTCGAGTCGTAGTTCCTCATAAGCATCGTGGCTATGTTTTCTGCTTGTTCTTTTTCTTCCCTTGCTTGCTGTTCTGAGGTTTTCTCATCTGAGTCAATGAAACCATCCGCTACATAGTTTAGTCACTAAAATTCTGCTGGTAAACTTTTATTGTACCAATTTATACCAGAAATCCATAAAAAAATCTTTATGGATTTCTGAGTACCTATAAGAGTATTGCCGACTCTAGTTAGATCAACGCAAGCTTCTTAAAAATATAAAATAGTTACATAATATACAAACTTTTTTATAGAAAAAGAAAAGATAGTAAAGCTTTTCAGCAGTGCTTTTCGGGCCGGTGGGTTCGCGTGAAATACACGAGTGCACACCGCGGGACTTACACGGAATCTACGAGCATGCAAATGCAAATAGGCCAAGAGATAGATAACTTTTAAACTAGGAAAAGTTACGAACAAATGCTAAGTAACAAATCTATAAAAAAGCAAAGTTTGCCAATTTAATCTTTATTGCTTACTATGAATTCTTTTGAAATAGACTTACCTTGCACTTTCTCGTTTTTTCGTTTATTTGGGACAGAGTAGGTTTGTTTAGAACTTTGTAAGGAATGTTGATCTTCGTCACCCAAGAAAGTGTCTTGTAACTCCACCTACAATAGGATACAGCAACCGTTTTAGAGCTAAAAGCGATTACCAGATTTTCATACATTTGTGCACAACATACCTCCATTTGTTGTGTGTGTTAGTAGAGTTAATTCAAATAAGTATAGGTTCGTGTTAGGCAGGCATCCTCCATGCAATAACATTCAGAATATAAAAGATACTTATCGAGGGAAGCCTAAAACACAAACCGAAATTGCACTGAAACAGATAAAAGCATTTTACTCACGAATAAGTTTTCAAAAATAATGAGTAACTAAATAAATTGACTCTTACCAAACTCTTTTGGGTTTAAAAATCATTAAAATTTTGCGAGAGACATTATTGAAAACTGTTTTTTGTTTTTGTTTCATGTCAGCCTGCCGTCAAGTCAAAATACCGGTCTAAATTTTTCACGCACATTTGTATTTCCGCTTTCCGTAGTAGTTTCCGGTTTTCCCAAATATTTTCTGGGATTCGATGATATTTTGAATATTGGTATGAGTAATACAGATTAGGTTTACAAACTACTCGTCGAAAAATGCTATGGCTATTTATCCGACTAAAAATGGTGATAAAATTACGTCTTCAGTATATTGTACTCATAAAAAATATATTTTATTTAATTTAATTAGTAAAAAAACATTTATGCATTTTTATTAAACTTATTTAAAAGCAAACTTGTTATCAAACATTTCATAAACTATAGCTCATCATCATCATCTTATCTGTCACCAAATATTTCTCACGTTGGCAACTCTGATTTTAGCCGTCAACGCGAGTCGTCCGTCAAATTCTATGTGAAGTGCTTGTACATATTTTTGCTTTTCCGCCAAAGTACAGAGTCATTCTAGAATTGCCAAAATGGCAGAGGGCCAAGAAGATCCCAAAAAAATCACTATCACAGTAAAGACTCCAAAAGAGAAACAGCAAGTGGAGATCGAAGAGGATGCCGATATCAAAAAAGTAAGTGAGGCACCGCCAGAAACCTTGCCCATGGCGTAATAACATAGATATTGCATACGCAATCATCGACGACACTCAATTTAACGATTCGGCGAGCTAACAGTGATAATATTATTTCGTTTCAGCTGAAGGAGGTGTTATCGCCGAAGTTCAGCGCTGAGCCGGAGCAGCTATGTCTTATCTTCGCCGGGAAGATCATGAACGATGCCGACACTCTGAAGCAGCACAACATCAAGGATGGATTGACTGTCCACTTGGTGATCAAAACGCCCCCCAGGCCGGAACCCGAGGGGGCGGCTCGGAGACCACCAGGTAGGGATAGTTCTCACCCTGATCAGCACTGTGCTAGTTGATTGACAAACCAAATTGTTGTGTCAAATCCAGGCGCGGATCCAGCCCTCAAAAAAGGTTGTGGGCACAGCCACCAAAAATTAGCAAAGTGAGAGTTGGATCACTACATGCCCAGACATACATTACATGCCTATTGATCTTATCAATAGATCATAATTAAAACAAGCAAATTAGGGTTGTGGGCATGCCCACAGTGCCCACAACGGTGGATCCGCGCCTGGTCAAATCATAAATTTAGTTACATCCTTTACCCAGCTTCTAGCAATAGATTCACAGCTGTGTAATTTTACTGACAAGTGGTGCAATAATTAGATAGAATTGACAGAATTAGTAATCTACTCATTAGAATGATGTAATTATGACTTCTCAAATTAATTGTTGCCTCCATTATGGATGTGTAAACAAAAATAGCTATATCTTTATCAAATATGATTCCAATAAGTTTATAGGTTACTTTTACGAACATGAAAGAAATTGGTTCTTCCTTTTTAGCTGATATCGGTGCTACACCATTTGGTCTGAACTCACTGGGTGGTCTTGCTGGTCTCGAAAGCCTGGGTTTGGGCCAGAGTACATTTATGGACTTACAGGTATGTCAATTTCAATACTCAATACTTTATTGCTTCACCACATTAGCATTTAGGTCTTACAATTCAAGCAGAAAAATGTGGACCCAGTTAGGTCACAGCAACCTTTGTAACTTGGCAATTACGTTTTGAAAAAATTTAATATAGGTACCTACATTCTCATCAAGATACAAATGAATTGATAAACTGAAATAATTTATAAAATTGAGATAAAAGAAATAATAATTATGGAAAATCTTGATAATTAACGATGATTGGAATTTCAGAAATAATAAAATGTATGTCATTGTGCATGTATTGCAAATAAATGACTCATTCAACTTGCAATAGATATCAAGTTAAATACATAATAATTACAAAACAAGATAATGACCTTGGACATTTTTTTTTACATAGTGCCATCTAGTCCCAAACTAAACTAAGCTTGTTCCATGGGTAGTACACAACAGATACTTGCATACTTTTTTTAAATCTTTACATAGTATAAAACAAAGTTACCAGTCCGTATGCTTGCTTTTTAAACTATGCAAGGCAGAGGCAGGTCTCTATTAATTTATAATTAGATAGATATAAGTTTTCTTTTAATTTATGTCATTATTGGTTTTGAAATCTTTCAAATGTTTGAAATATTTATAAATTTAGGCCCGCATGCAGCAAGAGCTCCTTTCCAACCCGGACATGTTGCGCCAAGTGTTGGACAACCCGCTCGTGCAGCAGATGATGAACGATCCGGAGAACATGCGCACACTCATCACATCTAACCCACAGATGCAGGACTTGATGGCTGTGAGTACACTGAATTTAACAGCTTTTTTAATATACAAAACCAACACTAAAATACAGAAATGTATGACAACAAGTAAATTTTGCAGCCTCAAAATTTTTAATTTTGCATTGTTAGTCACAATATTACAGCTTGCAATATATCATGTATATGCTATCTGTATACACTATAAGTTGTATTCCAAATAAATAATAAATAAATCAACAAAATACAATACACTTAATTAATGTGTAGATTTATTTTATAATCTGTCTATTTTTATACAGCGAAACCCAGAAATCAGTCACATGCTCAACAACCCAGAACTACTACGTCAAACTATGGAGTTGGCTCGCAACCCTGCTATGTTACAAGAGTTGATGCGTTCACACGACCGAGCCCTGTCTAATCTTGAGAGCATACCGGGTAACATATTTTTTTAAATGGTAATACATAATGTCATTTCATTATTCATTTATTTATTTTAATAATTTATTTTTATTTTAGGTGGTTACAACGCCTTACAAAGAATGTACCGGGACATCCAGGAGCCTATGTTGAATGTTGCTAGCAATATGGCTGGAAATCCATTCTCGGGGCTCGTAGATAATTCCGGTAAGTGTTCCATTTTTTTAAGTGGATTCTGCAGTGTAAAAGTGATAGCAAATTTAAATATGTAATTCCAAAGCCACACCTGCAAACTTGAAATTTGGCAAGTAGGTACCTTAAAGGGTGTAGATCCACTAAGAACGGATTTTACGAAACGCCGAAAAACAGGGTCCACGCGTACGAAGTCGCGGGCGGCTGCTACTATTAAAATATTTGTAATATTCTTACTGGATCCATGCTGGAAAAATAACTATAGGCAGTCTGGCCTTCCTCCAAATAAACATTCATAATTATTCATGTGCTTATGCAAGTACTTATTTTCTCAGTATTTTTTTCTGTAGGTATTTGACATTCACCTTACAATAGTGATGATTATTTGGCTTGTTAATTAATTTTGGATTCTGGATTCTTCTTCAGACACATTTTTGGGGTAAAAACCTTTCCTTTAATGAAATGAAGTTAAGACCTGGGCTTTTAAATGGTGCCAATATTGGTGGGAAGTGGGGATGCATACGTTTGAAAGTGCTTGTCGCGGGAGGGTCGATTTTTGTGATGACCAGTGTAGTTCATGAATTCAATCACTATGATATTTATTGACTCAAAGTTAGCAAAATCTATTTTACAGTAAGTAAATTGATAACTATCGCTGTTAAGTCTTGACAACCAAGACTATTTGAGGCTTCAACTATTCAATAATTGTTGTCCACTTGGGTTGTTAAACTTGGGTGTCCACGGAATACCAGGGTCGTGGCATTATCTACTGAGATGCTACGACACCATGCTGAGTGGATACCTTTTCAGTATCATTGTGTATATTCATTAAAAAGATCTGTCTATGTTATGTGTGTAATGATATTGAATGAATATTGAATACTTTTTCTTTCTTTCTTTCAATTAATCGGTCCCCATTTTTCCAGACGGCACAAACCCCCAACAGGGTTCAGAGAACCGACAGCCGCTGCCAAACCCTTGGCAGCGCGGCGGCGGCGGTGGCGGTGGCGGGACCGGCGCAGGCGGCGCCGCGGGCACCGGGCCCGGGCTCATTAATACGCCGGGCATGCAGTCGCTGCTGCAACAAATGGCTGAGAACCCGCGTCTTGTGCAGTCCATGCTGTCTGCGCCTTACACCAACAACATGCTGCAAGCGCTTGCCGCCGACCCAGAAATGGCGTCCCAGCTCATCAACCAGGTAAATTTTGATACAGACACGTCGGGCATGCAATCGCTGCTGCAACAGATGGCTGAGAACCCGCGTCTTGTGCAGTCCATGCTGTCTGCCCCTTACACTAACAACATGCTGCAAGCGCTTGCCGCCGACCCAGAAATGGCGTCTCAGCTATTGATGTGCCGTTCCCGAGAACGCTCTCCCAACTGAGAATATTCTCGGGAGCGCTCCCGGGAGCGTTCTCCTAAGTGAGAAAGGTTGAGAATCATGTTTATCAAATGGAAATAAACAAACTTTCTTAAGTAAATTAGTATTAAATTAAGTCCACAGATAAGTGTATATTAAACAATACACTCTATTTGCAGTGAAAGGCTATATTCCCAGTGTTCCCGAGAATATTCTCGGGAACTTTCCCGGCAATATTCTCGGCAACTGCACCTTTATTATATTTTAATTTTTTCGTCGTGAAATGTCGTTTTAATGATATGTAAGATGACAGAAATTTCTTTTTACACGTAATTAAATAATGTAACTGTCCATTTTTTCCTTTTTAACACGCTTTTATTAGGTCGTCGTGTATGTAACTATGTAATGGAATTTTAGAATCTGAATTACACGTACTTCTAAGTCTTGTATCATCATGAAACTTGGCAATTATAATGTAGATTAAATGACAATACAATATTGTGGTACCAGCTGGTCTGATGATGGGACTGGAAGGTGGCCAAAGGAATTTCTAAACGAAACGGCGGAATCACATCGAGTTTGGGATCATTGGATTTGTCTTTTCGAGATCTTTAAGTGCTAGATAATGTCCAGGGTCCTAATGATGGAGTCAGGAGGTGGCCATAGGAACTCCTAAACGAAACGGTGGAAACTCATCGAGTTGGGTTCGTTGGATT